TTCAAGAGAGAAGGGGGTGAGCTGGGGTCACACTCACCCATACATCATCACCAGCACAGACCAATGTCAGTAGAGTTTAGCAGCAGACTGACGTACAGTGCAGCTTGGAGAGGTGTTGAGAGTCCGTACCTGAGATGTTGAGTGTGGAGGGCGACAGGGCCACAGGGTCATCCAGTTCATTCAGCGGAGCCCCGTCCTGCAGCCAGATGACCCGCACCGGCTCTGGCGGACCGTGAGCCTCACACCGCAGACTCAGAGGCTCATTCGCCACCGCAGACCGATCCTGAGGCTCCACCGAGAAATGAGGAAGACCTGACCAACACAGAGCCGCAGTACATCAATACAGCATTCAGCAAGAGAGGGCCAGATGCTACTTACAGTGTAAACAGTTGAGGAAAACTGGAATAACACATCAATCATTAGTGAATAAGTCAGCGTTTCCAACCAATGAGAAACAACACAGAGCAAAATCACCACTTCCTGCTAAACTGTCATATTGCTTACATCACAGGTTAGGCAATCTGTATAGAATTGAAAAGGTTGATCCCACGCAGTTTTCTGCAGGTTTTTCTGCTCATTTTTTATTTCTAAACATCTCGGCTTTTTAAATTCAATATTTCAAAATGCAGATAAAAATAAGAGGATGGAAACAGCTAGAGTTACGTCAGGCCAGACTCCAAGCAGAATCAGGAGTATCATCTCAAAGGGGATTCAAAGGGAACACTATTGACGACAGACTGAAATAGATTCATACCTTCCAGCTGGATATATCCCTCAGCAGAAGACGTCTCCTCTTCACCAGAGTAAAGCACACACCGATACGCACCCATATCCAAGAGCTGCACCTCCTCGATCCTGGAACCAGAACATGGATATTACATCCATCCATCCATCCATCAATCCATCCATCCATCCATCCATCCATCCATCCATCCATCCATCCATCCATCCATCCATCCATCCATCTATCTATCTATCTATCTATCTATCTATCTATCTATCTATCTATCTATCTATCTATCTATCTATCTATCTATCTATCACCACACCAATCAAATCAGTGTTACGCACGTGAGTTTGCTGATGACGGTCCAGCTGTGGTCCTCTTCCAGCATCTGAATCTGGTTGGTGTCGGCGTACTCCAGCGTCCGGCCGTCCCGCAGCCACAGCAGGTCCAGCGGCTCCTCATCCAGCCCGAACGCCTGCAGGACACACTGCAGAGACACCGGCTTCCCCAGAGACGAGGTCACGTTACCCGGACTCTCCACAAAACGCAGATCTGCACAAACACAGACAGACAGCAGAGTGACTATCAGTACAGATCTGATCACCACTAACATCAGTCTGATCAACACCTTACACAGCATCTGCTGATGAACCGCTCACATGTTGACTGTGTTCCTGTTTATCTGTGGTTATGGGGTGGTGATCTCTGCTCTGTCCACTTCTGGTGGGGAAAATACTCAACTCTGCAGTTTAACAAAGCGACTTTTATTGACATTTGAGCAGTTTAAAATGATTTAATGTATAATAAATAATAGAGGGATACGTGTGTAGAGTAAGAGTGAATGTGCTGCAGTTTATGACTGGGTTTCTGTAGCGCAATATACAACACTGTCACACACAACAAAGCATGGCACACTATTACACACGTGCAGAAATAATCTGCCAACGGGGGAAGCAAAATCATCTGATGTCAAAAGTGAAGACAAGACTATTGAGCTAGCTTTCATGAAAATCTAAATCATTATTTCTGAAAATATGTTGTGTTTGCTAGAAAATGCCGACTGATTTAAGAGTTTTTAGATATTTGGACTAGAGACAACACACACACTCTGGGTAACATCAGTTGGTTTTCCAGCGTATGTGCTGGATCCACACTTTAATAATAGTACTGCTCTCTAGGAGCTAAACCCTTGGTACTGTACACAGTGGAAAAATCCCCCAAATGAGCCGTACCAGGCTGAACCACGCCATCAGAGACTGTGCTCTCCTCCTCCACTTCTGCCATTTAAGGGAATTGTGTGTGTGTGTGTGTGTGTGTGTGTGTGTGTGTGCGTGTGTGTGTGTGTGTGTCTCAGAGAGATGCTCAGCTCCAGATAAATCTCCCCTCAAACCCACTGTAGGTGCAGAACGTGTGTAGAGGACGTATTCAGACACACCCCACACTCGTGTGTTTTCAGATGTGAAGAGTGTAAATCAGCTCTATCAAACACACACGCACGCACACACACACACACACACACACACACACACACACACACTAATATGGCCACGCTGGTTCCCTCCGCAGTGTTTCCATCTGCTGGAGAGCAGAAATGCTTCACATTCCAGCCTGATAACAAGCTCTGAGAGACAGCAGAGCGCGTAATCCAGCATTAGCCAGTAGAGCTTCAGCAGACACAACTCCTCCCAATGCCTTCCTCACTGCTGTTTCCCAAATCACCCCTACACACTACACACTCATTCACTGCTCCCTACAGCAGTCCACTAATATGGTGCACTTGCAGGAGTGAAGGAATAAAGCGCGAGTGAAGTAAAGTTATTCATATTTACAGTGGCCGAGAGAGTTTAACACACTGACATCTGAGAAACCCATACGACAGACAGCAGCAAATTAAGAAGAGATGTTCATCAGTTTCACATGCAGATGCCGACAGCACAGAACACAGCGGAAATGTTTCAAGAGAACATAAAACCGTGCTGGACCAAACTATTCAGGTTAAGATTATTTTAGGCAAATAATATACAAAAGGAATGTTGTAATGAGGGTGTTAAAATGATAAAAAAACACCTTTCAAAGATCGCCCGTTACTTCACTGAGCACTAGCCACAGCACAATAAACAAATCCCTGCCACGTTTTTGGGTCCCCTTGAAACATGTCCATCGTGTTTCCTGCTATATGTTGTGAGAATGTGCTGTCAAGCCAGTGAAGATCTTTTCCTAATATGCTGGTGTTTCTTGTTGCATGTCTCAGCTCACCGTAAAATAAGAACAGCTGACGCTAAACTGACATTTCCACACAGTGCTGAGTTCCCGAAGTGCAAGTGTTTTATAACACTGCAGTCAAGCATGATCCGACACACCGAGGTCACGTGACTAAAGCGGTTGAAAGCATTGGTCATTGGTCATTTCGAGACCTGGCGAATCTGCATGTGATTGACAGGGTCTGAATGAACTTCTATCCTCGATTTATAATGTTCTTTGTTGAAGCTGTTCCAGAGCAATACATAAACATGAGCACTAGGTGTCGCTGTAGAGACGAGTTTCAACACGTCACGAAGCTTCGACACGTTTGCTTCCACTCTTTTAGTGTCTGATGAAGCCTCGCTCTGCCCACCACTACAGTAAAGAAGGCTTCAATGTCGGCATGGCATGTTTCTCTGAATTAAAATATTGTTTAAACAAAAAAGAGATTTAAAAAGAGCATATTTTAGAGCCGTGATCACAATCCTGCAGGACTGTGAAACAGTGATATTTATGTCCAGCGTTATCATACCGTCAGACTCTTATACCGGCTCATGCCTGCTGATTAAAAACAGCAGTATTCCGCTTCATCATTCGCTATTGGCAGATTACTTGGCTTGTTGTAAGGAGAAACTCACTTCACGTTGACTCACTGTATTCTGAACTCAACACTGTATCTCTGCTTGTCTAGAAATGCTGACTGATTTAAGAGTCCGGGTTTAGCTGCGTTGTGATTGTTGAATGTGTGTACCTGAACACTGTTAGACTCTCCAGAACAATGTCCAATAGAGCGATATAAGCCGTCTGGTGAAGCTGTCTACTCTGACTATGACAATATCCAATCTCAGGTTTCTCCAGTAAGGTGCAGTCCTGAGCAGAGGAGATGTGTTTGTGTTCTTCTGTGTGATGAATCCTCAGACGGATTATATCTTCATCTTCTTGTTCAACACTCTGAGCTGTCTGTCAGTAATGGTGCAAACACATCTGACGTCTGTCATCTACACAAACACCACTGTATTAAATATTATTTTAGTTTACACTATTGACTGGTAGGATTGTGCTTTAGGCGCCACCTACTGTACATGCTGTGCATACACTCTCAGAGTGCATTATGGGTATTTTCTATCTGTTTAGTGTGTGTGGGTTGTAGACTTATTATTGCAGTGCATTGTGGGATTGATTGCTCTTCAGATTGTCCACTATGGTTTCTGACACCACTAGAAACGGCTGCTCCCTCAACTAGTGCACTATTAAGGCTGTAGGGGTGATTTCAGACACAGCCGAGATTTGGGGAGTCTCAGAGCTGTCATTGGCTAATCTGACCCTTAACCTTTGACCCTGTGGAGATGCTTTGAGCCGGTCTGACCTGCCATGCCTCATCCGCTCCACAAACATGCAGAAACACTGACTCTCACACACACACACACACACACACACTACAGCACATGAATACAGAACATTTCTCAGAGCATCTCCTCAGGTGCAGAGATACACAAACACAGTCTGACTTCACACAGAGAACACACACAGAGGTGGAGAGTGTGTTCCTGTGAGTAACTGTAGAGGATTTGAGCTGCGCTAGATAATATAAACATCTCCAGCTTAGAGAACACACACACACACACACACACACACACACACACGTCCACTATTAACTACAGCACTCCTGCCTCAACACACTCCATCAACAGCTCACAGAGAATATATGATCACTGTAACACACACACACATACACACACACACACACACACACACACACACACACACACGCACACACACACGCACACACACGCACACGCGCATGTCACTCACACTGTGTGTCTGCTCACAGTATCCTAACATTCATAAACCAGTCAGCATATTTTAGACTAGTGAAATACAGTCTTGTGGTCAGAAATGATGAGCCAGATGAAGAGAGCTTCTCCTTTAAACAAACAGAATACTGTTACTCCAGAACCAGAACCAGAACCAGAACTAAAACCAGAAGCAGAAGCAGAAGCGGAGTGTTCAGCTCTTGTTGGACTCATATTCAGAGACTGTTTATACTGTTCCACAGACTCCTGTCAAAGTCAACCTCTAAACTTCACCAGCCCAGTCTAACACACACACACACACACACACACACACACACACACACACACACACACACACACACACACACACACACACACACACACACAGCCATGTTTCTGTCTCCGCCAGTCTTAGCTCCTCCTTCCTGTGGTGTTTTCTCCCTCATTCTTCCCCCTGGCCCTGACTTTCTCCATCATGGCCCCCTCACACACACACACACACACACACACACACACACACACACACACACACACACACACTTGCTCTCCCTTATATTGGCCCCACATTACTGTGTGTTTAGGCTGCCCGTCTGCACAGTCTGCACGCTCTGATATGAGACTTTGATAAAGACTTACATTAAAAAATAACCCACGTCATGTCTCTGAATGTGTCCTCAGCGCGCACACACACACACACACAGACACACACACACACACACACACACACACACACACACACACACACACACGCGCGCGCACACACACCTCCTGAAGGACAGGGAATGCTGAAGAAGATGCAAAAGCTGCCACTGTAATGCTGAGCGGTTGCTATGATGTTTTGGTGGGTTGCTAAGGTCATGCAATGCTGTTGTTGTGTAAATAATAACATATAGGTGACAGCCTATAATAAAAAAGGTGAGAGCGATGTGTGTTCACCATGGTAATAGGAAGTGTCCTGTCACAGAGCCTCTCTGAGCTCCGCTTCACCCATATCCTGAATCAGGAGTGTGTGTTTATTACTGAAGATCAGTACCTGCATTACTCTGCTGTGGTGATGTCACAGTCGCTATGGTAACACAACTGCTACAGTAAAACAGCTGAAGTCAGAGTTATTCACCCCCCTGTTTATTTCCCCTCAGATTCTGTTTAGCGGAGAGCAGATTACTCCAGCACATCTCTAATCATAGTGACTGATAGCTGATGTGTTTCCTCTTCTCCATGATGACAGCACATAATATTAGTCTAGATATTCTCCAAGACACTAGTGTTCAGCTTACAGTCACATGTAAAGCTTCACTAGGGTAATTAGGGTAAAGTTAGGGTAATTAGGCAAGTCATTGTATAACAGTGGTTTGTTCTGGAGACAATCCAACACTAATATTGCTGAAGGGGTGAATAATATTGAGCTTAACATGACTTTAACACTATTAAACACTGCTTTTATTCTAGCTGAAATGAAACTAATAAGACTTTCTCCAGAAGAACAGATATTAGAGGACACACTGAGAGAAACTGAATCTAAGAAACATCATTTGGGAAACACTGGAAAAGACAAAAAATAAAAATAATAAAAAAAATAATAAATTAGAGAGCGTTTAATAATTCTGACAACTGTAAACAAATGAGCCAACACTGCAGTTTTAGTGTACACTACAATAACCCACAGTTTACTGTAGTAAACACTAAACTACACTATTTATTACAGTTAATCTTAATATATATGAACATTTCAGCCCAGAATTAAACTTTATTCAGGATTTCCTAACCCATAAGTGCTTCCAACCTTTCATGAGTTTCAGTAATCTTTTTTTTTTTTTTCTTCTTTAACATGTAAAGTGTATTTTGAAAAATGTTAAAGCCTGGTAACCACTGATTTACACAGTAGGAATATCAGAAAAGCAAACACTGTGGAGGTCAGTGGTTTCAGCATTTTCCAGCAAAGAAACTCAAACAGGTTGTGAAGAAGCAGGGGAGAGTAAATGACGTGTTCAGCTTTGTGAGTACTGTCGCTTTAAAATAGTTTATTAATGATGTTTTATTTTACTAAATGACGAGTTACTAAAAGACTTCATGATAATCTACATGTTAACAACTCATCTACTGTTTATCAATCCAAACATTTATCCTCTCTGCTGGAAATACTGTAAGGTGTGAGTGACCGACTCTATTTCCAATCTGAAGTAAGTGTAAGTGCGCGGGGATGTGTTGAGGCTGTGTATTGCGGTAGTTACAATGATGTCCAGGAGTGTACAGGTGTGTGAACAGTGTAGTGTGATCCTCCGGTATGTGTGTGTGCGTGCGTGCGTGTGTGTGTGTGTGTGTAGTGTGATCGTTACCGGAGTTCGCGGAGCAGCAGCGCAGGACGGCGGCGATCAGCAGTGCGCAGAGCCCGGAACAGCGCACTCTCCAGCGGACACAGCAGCCGCTCAGAGCCGCGGGGCCACCGGAGCTCTGCATCTTCATCATCTTCTTCATCATCATCGCATATCTCCACTGCCCGTGAGAGAGATCAGACTGCGCTGTCAGGTCAGCCACTCCTCGGTGATAAAGTTCCTTCAGAAACAGTTAAGAAGCAGAAGAAGCCCCCTCTGTAAGTGCTCAGTCCCGCACACCCGCATCTGTGGGAGTCCGCGTCCAGACGCTCGCTGCAGCGCTGCTTTCCTCAGCTCAAAAACTTTTAGTCCTCCTCAAAGTGAGTTTGGGCTGTCGGAGAGCAAACACCCCAAAAGCGCTCGGGCTCTGGTTTTCCAGCCAGGGTGTGTGTTATTTTTGGAAACGCGACGCGGATTTGTGTGTCAGAGTTTCCTTTTGCCTCCAAAACGGCTCTGTCCCATCAGGACTGCTTTCTTTCCCTTCAGACACATTCACACACACTCACATTCCTGCAGTCCAGCCTCCTCCTCCTCCTGCTGCTTCAATACACACACACACACACACACACACACACACACACACACACGCACACACACACACACACACACACACACACACACACACACACACACACATCTAATTTGAATTTCACTACACTACACACTGGTCTGACTACACTAAATTAATCTAAACTACACTACACACTAATCCAGTCTACAGCCAGTTTAACTAAACTACAGTACACTGCCTTACACTACACACTGATAAAGCACTGCAGATTATGAACCTCATACGAGTGTTTTAATCTTGATCTTTGACTTCCAGAATCTGCTATACGAATGTTTATTGCCTGTATTAATGACTTTACTGCTCGTCCACAGGGAAGGTTCATCAGTAACTCTGTTAGACTACACTACACTGTACAAAGTCAAATATAAACACTTTACTACAGCTACAGTTACAACTACACTGAAAAACAAGCTGTACTTTTACAGTTTCTCTTAAAACAAGCAAACTCTAGTCATGTGTCCATATACTGTTCACTCTATAATAAAGTAGATATATTCACCACAGTCATTGGACAATGTCCTGGACAGACTAACTATACTGTGAGGATTTACTGAAGATAGTTTAGCCATATCAGTGAATAAAGTTTGACTATAAATAAAGTTAATTAATTAAACTTGCTGAACAGTTATTAGAGATGGATTGTCTGATTGAGTAGCTTTACCTGGACATATCAGAGAATGAAGAGCAGTCTAACAGCACCTACAGCACACGTCTGAGTCAGTTCATAAGGTTCAAGAGCTAACGTGAGCTTGTGGAGTGAAATAAAGCGAATGCTGGAGGGGTTCATGACCACAGCTGAGCTCTGAACTCCTCTGATGATTACATCCAGAACCATTTTACACATCTGCTTATCCTTATAGACCTTGTGTATCGTAGAGTTATTATATATAGCCTTTGCTGTGTGTGTGTGTGTGTCTGCTGCTTTAACTTTTTATATAATATATATATATATGTGTGTGTGTGTGTGTGTGTGTGTGTGTGTGTGTGTGTTCTGTAAAGAACAAAATGTGGCTCTTCCTGCATAAATAAGACTGAAGTCTCCTGTGTTCAGTGTGTGTCTGTGTATTGTGATCCCTGTGATGTGTGTGAGTGTGCGTGTCATGAATAATGCATGTGCGGTGTGTTTCCCATGGCTGCAGCGCTGCTCTGGCCCTTTAAGAGGAGTCTGAGGGTCCGTCAGTTTTCCCAGAGTCTATAATGGAGACGCAGCCGCCTGAGAAAGAGACCATTGTGTCCAAGCCTTTCAGGAGAAACCAGGAGTGGAGACACACACACACACACACACACACACACACACACACACACACACACACACACACACACACACACACACACACACACACACACACACAACACAGGGATCACAATACATACACACATCACAGTGTCAAACACACTCTTCAATGTCTGAGAAAGGGGAAAGGATCAACTCAGAGATTTGGAAGACTAGTTAGTGTGGACTAGTGTGGGTTAATTTGGGTTAGTGTGGATTAGTTTGGGTTAATGTAGACTAGTTAGGGTTAGTTTGGGTTCATGTGGACTAGTTAGGGTTAGTTTGGGTTCATGTAGACTAGTTAGGGTTAGTTTGGACTAGTTTGGGTAAATTTGGGTTAATGTGGGTTAGTTAGATTGAGAGTTAGTCCAGCACTGATAAACCTGCGCTGCTCTACCCAATCACAGCACAAGCAGTCTCTCTCTCTCTCTCTCTCTCTCTCTCTCTCTCTCTCTCTCTCTCTCTCTCTCTCTCTCTCTCTCTCTCTCTCTCTCTCTCTCTCTCTCTCTCTCTCTCTCTCTCTCTCTCTCTCTCTCTCTGTCTGTGTGCAGGTAAACCTGAACTGCAGGTAACCTGAGCTGTGATCAGATGAAAGCTGAAGATGTTCCAGCATCAACACAATAACAGTGTGTCAGTATGCAGTATGCAGTATGCAGTGTGCTCATGACTCTGAGTGTTTGATGATATTCCCTGATCAGGGATGATGAGCTCAGACTGCTCCTGCATCAGTGTCTAGAACAGCAGCAGTCAAGTCATTTCAGATCTACAATGCTCTCGCTAGTCATCTCCCATCAGTATTATCTCCCCTCTTTTGCAACAGTCTTAAAATTGTGCATCTTTAAGGGATCTTGTTTTCTTGAGTAAGGGATAAGAGACGGTCTCCAAGTCGAGGCTCCATCTGCAGCTTCAGTAACACCTGAAACTCTGAGGATTCAGCACACACTGCTCACCTCACATCATCAGAGCTCTGTTTACACTCCACACAGACAGGATTTACAGACTCAGCGGAAGACAGACCGAGCTGCAGAGATTACTGTGTGTGTGTGTGTGTGTGTGTGTGTGTGTGCGCCACCTTCTGGCTGATAACACAACTGCTCCACTACAGTGTTTACTACAGTTGATCAGTACTCTGTAGTTAACAGTACAGTGCTCTGCAGCATTCATCAACACAGAGCTGGAAACACTATAACACAGGATAATACACTGTAGTATGCTTCAGAAACACTACATTTTACAGTAAATGCCTGTATTATGTCATGTAGGAAGACAGAGAAAACTATTTTTGTGAAGCTATAGTCCATCATGAACAGTTGTGAATGTATCAAAATAAACTATATGAGACTTGAAGAGAAATCTGATATATGGCGAGATATGCAAATTACATGCAGAACATAGATGTTCATATGTGGACTTCATGGATATTAAATATATGCAACACATATTTCAGAACAGTGCAGAAATGGTTGTTTAATTCTTCAACCATTGGGATTACAAATATGTACATATATGTTCAAATATATATATATATATACACACACACACACACACACACACACACACACACACACACACACACACACACACACACACACACACACACACACACATCTGTGAAGAGATGATGCCAACCCTAACATGTGTTATTATCCACACAGACATCAGCTCTTTGGACAGGACACTGAATATACTCTATAACTGCAGTTTACATGTTTCCACACCCCTCAGCATATACTCACCTCCTTCACCGCTCTGATAATTACCTGCACCTTTATAAAGTTCAATTGGATCAATAATTATTGTGAAAAGCGCTATACAATAACCCTGAACTGAACTGAGTGCTAGTTATAATTTCCCATCTTCATATATGGCCATATATATCTCCAAATCAGAAATTATCTACACGCCTGCCAAATCCAGACCTACAGAAATCTCCTTACTCAACAGCTCTGTGTGTTTTTCCACAATCAGCCTCTTGTTCATCATCTTGTGGTGGTTTGGGGGAAGCCTGGGTCATGCAGGACCGAGCGCTGATAGTCTGGACCCGCTGCTGCTCCTGCAGGGTCTGTGTTCGGCAGGATTCATCAGTCCTGGGACTCCTCTGTAAGCCTCAATGTGTGGATTAGCAGATGTGTGTGTGTGTGTGTGTGTGTGTGTGTGTGTTTGTGCATCTGTCGTGAGCGTTCACTGATAATCTCAGAGGCGGAGGGGTATTATGCAACACACACACACACACACACACACACACACACACACACACATAAACACACAGCGGTGATGAAGAGTCAGATCTGCAGCCCAGTGTCCAGATGATTATTATAGAGGGATATGAAGCTGATCCTGGAGTCTGACAGCGCATGCTTCACATCATCTCTCTGCTTCTGTTCTTGCAGGCCTGAACTGATTACTCAAATCTTGACGTGTGCTTACATCACTCCTAATGTCTCAGACTCATATTCACACCTCAGCTGAGCGCTGCACTGTGATTGGCTGATGGTCACTCTCAGGTGTTTGGTTATTGTCAGATAAAAGCACAGCTAAAGTAGTTCCGGCAGGTTTAGAGCATATTACAGCTCCATATCACTCCGCTGAATGATTAGAGAAGACAGAAGGAGGAGGAGATGAGGAGGACACTAGTGCTAAACACAGGAGACACTTGAGGAGGACACACACCTGACTCACACACACACACACACACACACACACACACACACACACACACACACACACACACACAGATACAACATGTCAGCATTTTCTGCAGCATTTTTCAGAGATGATCTTCACCTGTGTGTTGACTGCATCATTTACTGAGAGCATTGGGGCCTCAGATGGTTTCTCCTCTGGATGTCATGTTTGCAGGTGAGTTTTTGAGCATTACAGTTTTGTCCAGCAGGTGTCTCCAGTGTGCAGAAAGCGGTTTCTCCCATCACTACAGTGCAGCGGCCCACACACACACCTGAAGCGTTTCTGTCTTTCAGAGTAAAAGACCTGATCCAGTCTGATGAGCTCAGAGCAGCTGATGAAGGAGCTCACGTCTTTAACCTTCATCTCAATCTAACTGAACCCTCAATCTGATTATAAATGATTATTTGGCTCCATGTTGGTGGTGGTGATTAACTGTGCTGTGGCGACAGAGTTCAGCCGTGTTTAATAAAGGTCAGGCAGTGCTGACCAGCAGACAGGAAAAGAACAGCCCAGAATCAACAGCAGCGGAGTGAAACAAGACAACGAGAAACACCGGCAAAGACCACCACACAGAACCATATGAGGTGTGTGTGTCATCTGTGTCAATGATCAGCAGCTATGTGTGTGTGTTACCTGTGCTGTGTATTCAGTGTCCGGATAGGAGCAAGCCTGATGGGGGATGTAGTCCAGGTGAACGGCTGGTGGAGCGTACATTTAGCTGTAGTGCCCTCTAGTGAGTCACACACACACACACACACACACACACACACACACACACACACACACACACACACACACACACACACACACACACACACACACACACACACACAATCGTCTTTAGCGTCTCCGTCTTTCTTCATGAACTGGCGTCTCTTGGAAAAGCTCCCAGTTTGTATTAGCTTTTTCCATCTCTACACACATTTTTAAAACAGCATCATCTTTTTATCAAAACTCTACACACAATACTCTAAACTGCACACACAGATCTGCACTCACAATGGCATGAACACACGGCAGAATGAAGCATTCACATCTGCTGGCAAACACGTCTTTCATAATGGGGAATGTTTGGATACAGCAGGTCAACACTGGATCTAAATCTACAGCTCTGTGCTCTCCTGAGATCTCCAGTTCAGTACAGTGACAGTAATCTGCTGACAGGAGGAGCAGCTACACTGAACACATGAGGAAACTGACAATGCTTTAGGCCAAACATGACTGGTGTTGTAGTGTAGCACTTTCAGACCTGGAGCAGCACCATGAGAACCACAATATCTCTCTGTTCCACAGGGGGAGCCTAATGAAGGATGAGGGAGTTGAACAATTGACTGATTTATTGCAGAGAACACACAATAAACATCGAGTGTACTATAAGCAAACAAAAGAAAAGACATGAAATGAGTGCTATTTGGTGGCGCGGTGACATAGTGGGTAGCACATTCACCTCACAGCAAGAAGGTCGCTGGTTCTAGTCTCGGCTGGGTCAGTTGGTGTTTCTGTGTGGAGTTTGCATGTTCTCCCTGTGTTGGGGTTCCTCCGGGTGCTCCAGTTTCCCCCACAGTCCAAACACATGTGGTACAGGGGAATTGGGTAGGCTAAATTGGCCGTAATGTATCAGTGTGTGTGAATGAGTTTCCCCAGTGATGGGTTGCGGCTGGAAGGGCGTCCGCTGTGTAAAACATATGCTGGATAAGTTGGCGGTTCATTCCGCTGTGATTAATAATTTTTTTCATTAAGCTGAAAATAAAATAAATGTATAAATGAAATGAGCTGAAAGAAAGGACATGAGAAGCTTTGAAATGAAACTCTGTGACACGAGGTGAAGTAAATACACCCGTTCAGTCGATGTGCTTCAGTTCAGACGGATGCTCCTGCAATTAAATGAGTCAGAGTTCAATATCAGATCCTCAGTGCACTATACGAACAGTCCAACAGTCAGGAGCCAAAGCACAACTTGGATTTGACATGAATGCTTCCACTCCTTGGTTGTAGGAGTGTTGAATAAATGGAATATTCCTACCGGTACTGATGAACTAGAGGAATCTCCTTATCAGCTGGGTTAAAGAAGGATTCAGCTGATCAGCTCACACTGTACCAGACCTCACGGCTGGCCACGTCACGTCATGACCGCTCTACTCACTGGGCTGCACTCGCCATCTTCAGTTCCATTTTACACATCAACAGAAACAAACACAAACTCCACAGTGTAGGAGAAACACATGCTCAGCTCCTAATGTAGTGGAACCAATCTCCACACATACACACTGAGACTGTACTATTACTCAAACATGTTTCAAAATGACTTGCATTACACAACACAACACTACACAACACTACACTACACAACACTACGCAACACAACACAAAACAACACAACACAACACAACACAACACAACACAGCACAGCACAGCACAGCACAGCACAGCACAGCACAGCACAACAATATGAGTGTTAACAGCATTACACAACACAACACTACACAACACAACACAACACTACACAACACAACACAACACAGCACAGCACAGCACAGCACAGCACAGCACAGCACAGCACAACAATATGAGTGTTAACAGCATTACACAACACAACACTACACAACACAACACAACACTACACAACACAACACAACACAACACAGTACAGCACAGCACAGCACAGCACAGCACAGCACAGCAATATGAGTGGTAACAGCAATACATAACACAACAACACAACACAGCAATATGAGTGTTAACAGCATTACACAACACAACACAAAACACAACACAACACAACACAACACAGCAATATGAGTGTTAACAGCATTACACAACACAACACAAAACACAACACAACACAACACAACACAGCAATATGAGTGTTCACAGCATTACACGGTGCTTCCCTGTTGTATTTTCTTAATTTCTCTCTTGTTGTCATTTTATGGTTGGATGCAATTACCCAATTGTCCACTCAATTGAATTACATTATTCCTTCTCTATATGAATATTTAGACACTAGTATATAGTTACACACAGCCTACAATTAGCATATAGCTTAAACTAGCTCTTAACACATGAAAGCACAGTAGCATCAGTGCAAACAATGCTAACAACATCAACATGTCTCATAACTCTTATGCCAAGCATGATTTAACTCGTACACTATTATCAGATGTCCTGATTGTTTTGTATTTAACAGAAACCTGTATTAATTTAACGATGAAAACTTCTGCTTAGCTTAAGTTAATGATTTACTACAGTAACTAGCTAACCATTGCTCACTCACCGAAGAAAGACCAACATGATCAAAAGTGCAGTTCAGTCGATGTTTTAAGAGATGTTCTGGATAAAGATTAACTTATACACTCCAATGAACATAAATACAGCACAATTCACCAGTTTATCAACTCAAAGCATCTGCAGGAACATTCACTGACTCTGTCAACACAAGGAAAGGAAACCTGGCTTCCTCTCTAGAGGTTGGGGAGCGCCCTCTACAGGAACACACAGGTGACTACACCGTTTGGTAAACCAGTTTCTATGAGGGTTACACTAGCATAAAAACATAAACACAGTGTATGTGAAAAAACAAAAGTGAAAAAACACAAAAGTGTGATCTCCAGAATACAGAGAAGAACACAAGTGTGTGTGAGGGGAGTCTGGAGGGGGAGAAGCGTCCATTGCCTGGAGAAGCATCATGTTGACATGTTGTGTGTGTGTTGTGTGTTGTGTGTTGTGTGTGTGTGTGTGTGTGTGTGTGTGTGTGTGTGTGTGTGTGTGTGTGTGCCTGTGGTGTTCAGACACATGTGTTTGTGCCATCTAGTGTTCAGCAGAATAACCTCAGTGACCCTTACAGCCTCTTAGAGCACAAATACAACACAAGCGAGTGCGCAGAGGCCACATTAGTCAGGTGTGTGTCCTCCTCAAGTGTCTCCTGTGTATAGCACTAGTGTCCTCCTCATCTCCTCCTCCTTTTGTCTTCTTTTCTCATTCAGCGGAGTGATATGGAGCTGTAATATGGTCTAAAATTGCCGGAACTACTTTAGCTGTGCCTTTATCTGACAATAACCAAACACCTGAGAGTGACCATCAGCCAATCAGAGTGCAGCGCTCAGCTGAGGTGTGGTATAAATCATCTTAATCCAACATAAAACTCAAAAAGCTGACAATTGTATTGAGTTTATATTGATAACTGTGTGTGTGTGTGTGTGTGTGTGTGTGTGTGTGTGTGTGTGTGTGTCTGCTGGGTAAAAGTACTCATGTTCATATCCTGTGGTGTGCAGAGGGGATTTTCTCCTCCTCTTCTGTGATTGGCTGCTGTGTGTGCATGTGATGCGTCTGCTGTCTCTCTCTGCGTGTGTATGTGTGTGTTGTCTCTCAGATGTGCTCTCCTCATCCCTGGGATGTCCTAAATGAGAGTGGATTACGGCCGGGAGTGTGTGTGTCGCAGGGATGAGCGCAGCGGTGGTGCACAGAGGATTCCTCCGCAAATATGGTAAAACTCTCTCATACACACACACACACACACACACACACACACACACACACACTGAAAGATCACTGCTTGATCTACTGAACAGTTTAAAGTGTTATGAAAATGATCTGTTATCACTGTTTTATTTAAGGATGGTCTGAAGATGAGCAAACACTCTTAAACAGAAAAGGCTGCTCTAACTCTGAGTCTAAATTCTAGTGTCTAGTCCACATATCTAAGAACTCTTGAATCAAGACGTGTTTTCGAGAGCAGCAGGAGACGGTGTCTTGTTTTCAGGAATAATGGGTCAGATCAATACTGCTGTTCATAATAACATTAGTTTACTTCACTTCACCCGTTGCAGATGTTGTGCTTGTTTTAAGGAAACTCAGTTAATGTTGTTAAACTAGACTCTATCCTCTACTAGTCTAGAAGACACTTCTTGATCTAAGAGTTCATGGATATTTGGATCAGACACAGGACAGTCTCAGAGTAAGGGGCGCATGTTTTGCGCTGTCACAGTTGGAACTGCTTTATCTGTATTGGATCAGATGTTGGATGTCAGGATGAAGCTGTGTTTCTGTACACATTAAATGTAGATTACAGCAGGTTTAACACTTCATTTCTGACAGATTTGGAGATGTTGCAGCTGTAGATCTGTGATCCTGATATGTGTTCAGAGTAAAGTCGGTCAGCTCCAGCTGTTCTGCCTCTCGACAACTGTATTTAGGTCAATGATGATGATGATGATGATGACAATCACAAAACTCACAATCCTAACAAACACAAGTAAAGCTGACCCTATAAAGCAGAGCGTTTAACCTGTGCTGTGTGTGTTATTGGTGAACTGCAGAATACTGAAAATAAACGCAGATTCTGACTCGAGGACTGAGACTGATTCACCAGGGTCTGTAATTAAATGTCTTACATTAAAAATAAGATGTTGCAGGTCTTATATCAGTGTAGACTGGTCTTAACTGTCCTGTTCATGTAAACCCACTCAATCAGGCCGGCACTCGTCCAGTCCTCAACAACACCTGTACCAGAAGATGTATTTGAACTCTGTTTAGGGTTTAATTCTCCTCGGTAGGCCTTGATCTCTCTGAATGTGCTTTTGGGATGAGAGGCTCTGTGTTAATGGCGGCGAGTGTTTAGTGCTCTGTTTATTTGTCCTGTGTGTTTTACTCGTCTGCTGCTTCTCGTGTTTCGCCGTTTCGTTCTGTTCACCTGCAGGGGGAAAAACTCAACTCTGTTGTTGAAAACATGTGTATGTACGCCACTACAGTTCGCTTGTTTGACACATCATTTAAAGATGTGTGGCTGTGATATGACTGAATTAGCATTTTAACAGGGAAATAAAAATATTTGCACTGGCTTTTAGAGAACCTTTAGTGTTTAGCTGCGTATATGTCTGAGATTTCATTCATCATTCATCACTGTCTTAAAAAGCTCGTAAATCTGACTTCTGTCAATGTGCAATGCTACTGAAATATGTACAGCTTTTTCAGTATTAGCAAGTCTACATTCATCACCGTTATAGCTTTATGAGTAAAACAGAATAAGGAATGCGCATTTACTCTAAATTTCAACACGTTTAGGATCTGAGCATGTTCAAGCGTCTGATGATGATTATTGACTCATGTAGCACTCGATGTAAACACTGTCCTATAATTCAGCATCAGCAAACATTTACAGAGACCTGCTTTAGGATGTGACGCGTCATCAATGGGAAATATTACAGCCATCGTGCTGTCTAGCATGTTGTTCATGTATGAAGTGAATTAATTCATTTCTCAGTTCAACACTGAAGATGGTCACAGATCTGAGTGTAATTAATCCTGCGACTGATGAAGATGATGATTTAAAGCTAATAATGTTCACTCATGTTTGATTGAAGAGGAGTAAACATACAGTAATACACTGAATTATGTGTGTTAATAATGACATTAACAACTCATCAGTGTTTATCAGCAGTGTTAAATCATAAGAGCTGTTAGCATCAGAACACACTGACGGACGCTCAGAGGAAATGACATCATCTGCTGTATCTGTGAGCAAGACAGAAAAACAGGTGTGTGTGTGTGCGCTTGTGTGTGTGCGTGCGTGTGTGTGTGTGTGTGTGTGTGTGCATGTGTGTGTGTGGGAGCGAGATAAAGATAAAGCTTTAATCTTCAATCCTGGAGCAGTAAATAACACTTTCAATCTCTGCTCTGAAAAACATTCATTTTAACAAGTATTTTAGAAGATAAAGATATCAGGAAACGAAAATATCATGAAGTACTAGTTGGCGGTTCATTCTGCTGTGGCGACCGGGGATTAATAAAGGGACTAAGCTGAAAAGAAAATGAATGAATGAATTTATATATATATATACTCACATTATATCATCTTTTTCCTTTTAATTATCCACCTTGAATGACCCATTTCTATTAAAATATCCTCAATATCATGATTGACTTTTAAAGGCATTATTGATAATCAGTATTATCTGCTGGTATTTGTGCCAATATCAGGATTCCTGTTACAAACAAAATAATAAAAACAAATAGAAAGGAAAAAGCTGAACTGAAATCTGGGATAATGACACACTTCAGGCTCAGCCTCGATAAGTGAATGTAATGTATTGTCTTTATGCTTAGCAGTGGCTTATTTCCTATGAGCCTGCTATGAATCAGACAGATGCATATCCCTCTACGTTTACATTTAATCCTTCAGCAGATGCTTTTATCCAGAGCCATTTACAAATGAGGACAATGGAGGCAGTCCAGCAACAGCATGTGCTGAGAGATGCGATGGTTAAAGACTCATGTAACGTCCTCTTTACCCAGACATGTCCTTGTTTTGGGACTTGAAAATGAGTCCAGGCGAGGTCTTTATCACTCTGTAGTTGTGTTAACGGTATGTGCATTTGCATGACTTTATACCTTTTCTTTTTGCACCATGTTTGTGACAGATTAAGTTTAGTGAATGCTCCGTCAGCTCTATTAGTTTCCAGAAGTGATGATGAAGGTAATGCCCAACCTGAGGTGTGATCTGGGGAAAACTGTGCCAAATCTAGCCAGATGAGCACATCGACACCTTCCTGCTCCGGAAAACAAATCACCGACATTACTTTTGTCAATATTCTCAATAATATAGTAAATGCTCTTCTTTTCTGAGAAATGATGAATAAATGTGTTACTTCAATGAATTCTTATCTGATTATTTAATTTACCTCCAACACTGAACACAATTTTCCACAATTATCTCACGTTTCTCAGACTTCCTGTGTGTGTGTGTGTTTCTCTAAGGGGGCTTCATGTTCAAGCAGTGGAAGGAGAAGTACCTGGTACTGACTGTGGAGGGAAACCTGATGGTGTGTCGAGATGCAGATGCTCCTGCTGACCAGGTGGTGGCGCTGCAGAGTCACTGTGAGTCTCTAGTTGAGGGCAGAGAAATCCTGGACCTGCCGCGGCTGCCTCCTGGAGGCCGGAGAGACTGCTGCTTCGCCATCATACTGAACCAGGACAAGTTTATTCTGCTGCTGGCGGACGGGCCTGAGGAGTGCAGGTCTCTCTCTCTCTCTCTCTCTCTCTCTCTCTCTCTGCTTACTCATACACACACACACACACACACACACACACACACACACACACACACACACACAGTTAATGTACTAGTCCAGCAAATAAACTAAAGCTCTTCGTTTGTCTCCTACAGTCAGTGGCTGAAGCTCCTCAGGAAGGTGAAGGAGGTGAGCTTCTATTATTATTATTATTATTCATGAATCTTTTATAATCATCAATTATTGCTGCAATGGACAGGACTCAGACAAGTATTGGTTGGAACAGACTGGTTTATTGCAGATATTGTACAGCTGGATAAATTCAATGATGATATTAGAAAGCATTTGGATTACCAGAGTAAAGGATCAGGATGGCTGTGACACTGACAGGAGCACAGGGCGTTGATGAAGGAGATCCAGATTCCTGGAGCATAAGTCATGTAAGAGTCTGAGACAAGGATGACAAGGAGACCAGACAATGAGTGAGTAGGAACTTTTATAGTGGAACTCTGTCAGGGGCCGAGAATGTCATTCCTGGGGACTCATGATCTCTCCTTGGGTCCTTCCCAGTCAACCCAAGTCTTCCAATTTAGCCCATGACAGGATTTCCTTTACAGAGTAAGCAGTTCCCTCCTTCATGATCATGCATTCCAGGCTTCCGTCAATATGCCCAAGCCTTTGCTGGGTGAATGGGGTCTGGATCTCCAGGAGATTTGTCAGGGGTATGCATTCTAGACACAGTGTCAGCTTTAGTATTTATGGAACCAAGATTATGGGTTTTGCTCCATTCAACCAGTGTCCAGTCGTTCTTCCAGAGCTGCTTTGATGACCAGTATCTCACCATTCCCAGTGCTGTAGTTCTGCTCTGCCGAGGAAAGTTTGAGAGAGTGGGAATGCGCATGCACAGAGTCATAAGGTTCTCTTGCTGCTGTGAAAGAACAGCTCCTACTCTGTACATAGAGGCATCTCCTTCCACAGCAAAGGGTTTTGCGGATCGGAATTTACCAGGAGGGAGCTTCAGTTTGCAGGGTCTTCATGTGTGTGTGAGGTGGAAGTTGTGAGGGTCATTTTGGGCAGAAAACATCACAGAAGTGGAGTTACTGACAAATTTGACAAATTAATTCTGAAGGGGAATTGCAATGAACACAAAGTTCAAGGGGATAGTCCGGGCAGGAGACAAAGATTTAGGAAGATATGACTTCTCCAGTGACCTAATCGATGGATGGACTGTGGGAAACAAACCACTGGCACCCTAGAACGATCTCAGTGGTGGAATCCTCCTGAACCAGCAGCTTGGTGTATTCCTCATAAATGTTTATTGAGATTGGACAGATGTGCAATGATCACAATCGGGGGCAAACATTTGTACACAGGGAATCCAGAGTCATGGTCGAATTACAGGTGAATCGTCAATACAGGGAGGCAGCAGGCAACGTCAACAAACAAACAAACAAACATGGCTCAGTACACAGTAGGACAAGGCAAAGAAAACCCGTTAGCGATCTGCAACCACTACATCGCTTATAACCATAACAATAGCGTTCCTTTTATCAAGAAATTGGCTTTTAATAGTACTTATAAAATATATTTATATATCATAAAATACATATATTTCAAATACAAAACATCAATTTCTTATTAAAGATGAGCATATATTTAACAATATAATTTTCTAATGTTTTTTGCGTCATTTTGAGTGAAAGTCTTTGGTTTTCATGATTTGTTTCACAGTTCAGTTTGCTTTGTTTAAAATATTTTTGCACGTTTAGTCTCCTGCTAGTTTCTCTCTCGTTTCCGTACAGTTGAAAACACAACATGTGATTACAGCACAACACTTCATTTTTCTGATATACTGTATATATATTTGATGAGAAAAGAAACACTGTATGCCCCCCCAGTCCTTATGTCTTTCACCCAGGGCCAGAACACAGGATTATTTCCAATGAATGTTGTATAATCGTCACGTGTCCGAGTCTTTGCCAGATCCTATATCAATGATAAGTGTTGTAATCTCCCACGAGAGATGAACCGAGCGCTCTCCATCTTTAATCTCGGGATTCGGAAAGCGCTGAGATTAGGGTATATTTCAGTGTGTGCTGTGTGTGTGTTCAGGGTGTGACGTCTCCACTCGCCCTGAAGAGACAGCAGAGCATCACGCCGTGCATCACAGACAGAGAGACGCTGTCAGACCTGTCCAGCGACAGAGATCCGTCTTCACCACACCTGAACTCGCCACTCCTGCGCTCCAGAGAAAACTCCTTCAGGCACAGAGGTAAGTCTCTGATATACACACCTGAGCTGTCCTGCTGCTGGAGGGTTTCTTCTGAGTTGACAAAACCAAACCATGAACAAATCTAAACTTCCTCTCTAGGAGTTTATAATGGATGTGCAGAAGGAGGCGGGACAGCAGTGGCCAACAGCCAATCACAGGCCTCGAAATATAAAGATACTCTGATTGACTTTGAGTCAGCACAAATCACAGATTAAAAAAGATTTGAACCATTAATGTGATCCATGATGCGAGTGTAAGTTGTGTAGTGTGTGTGTGTGATGTCCTGCAGCTGTGTGTGTGTGTGTGTGTGTGTGTGTGTGTGTGTGTGTGTGTGTGTGTGTGTGTGTGTGTGTGTGTGTATGTGTGTGTGTGTGTGTGTGTGTGCGTGTGTGCGTGTGTGTGTGTGCGTGTGTGTGTGTGTGTGTGTGTGTGTGTGTGTGTGAGAGATCAGAGTCAGGATGGTTACACTATCTCAGGTGTGTAAGTGCAAAGCATTATGGTCATTGTAGTTCAAGTGGTGTGTGAGTGGCCTGTAGTGTGGCTGTGGCCCCCCTGCAGATAATGGGGACATTACTACATTTTTAGAGGGTTATTGTTTTTACCATTTGGCCATCATTGACACGCACAGTCAAAACTGCTTCATTTAAATACCTAAAAAAACTTCTTGCTGCTAAATAGGCAAAACCTAGGGGTTTGAAGGAAAAAAGCAAAGCATAAACATTTCAGATGACATTAAATGCATATTTTGGGACCAAACTGTGATCCTGAAACTTTCTTTCAGCATGTCCGCAAATGATTCTTGTTCTGATCATGTCTAAGCAGATGTGCAGACATTAGAGATGTGAATCTCAGAACTCAGGCTGATAGCATACACATCTCAATGATATGATATATGAAAGACACACATGAAGCAGCAGCCAACATGAAATGATTTACCTCGCCGTGACGCAGTATGATCCAATTTTCACTGGATTCAACTCAATGTGATTAGATGCAGTGGAAACGATCTGATCCTCTTCCTGTTTTATTCTATCTCTGTTTCTCAGCTCTACTAACACAGACTATAGACACAGACACATCGCTGCTACACTCAATCACATTTTACTTCTTGAAATCATTGATAAACAGTGCAGGTAATAGTGATTTCGTCATATATGTTTATTTATTGCGTACAGAATGACATTACTGCAGTGATAGCTTAACATTAGTGGCTTCTAGTTGTCAACTTCAGAAGTACAGCTCCTGCAGACACAGGTGAAGTGATGAACCCTCTTTCTGTTCAGGATGATGGAGTATATCAGGGTAAAAGCAGAAATCATCCCTGTTCGTGCCTTTGTGTTTTATTAGAGCACTTTGGCACAGACAGAATAAATAATCCTTACATGCAACTGATTGAAGGAGAAAAATCTCCTGTAAGGTCAGTTGTTCAGCGATAATCTCTCTCTGTGTGTGTGTGTGTGTGTGTGTGTGTGTGTGTGTGTGTGTGTGTGTGTGTGTGTGTGTATGTGCACTGTAATCTCTTAAGCATGTTTTTCAAATTTTTCCTGCTTATTCTTTCAGCTATGTGCAGTATTTTTGTCTGTCTCTCGCTGGTGATTGCTGTAAGACCAGAGCTTACACTAATATTTAATTCAAACAGTTTTGCTCTTGGGAAAAAAAAAATCTAAATCTTATTTTAATCTATTTTCCTGAGTTCATCGAGAGATTTTATTAGTTCATATTGCATTCATGAGAGTTAACACATTCTAACATTTCTGTTAAAATGCTGCTGGTAAAAATCAAAGATTTGCTCAGTAAAGAGCTGAACACAGGCACATGACATGTGCACAATGCAGATATCTGTATATGTAGTAAAACTGCTATGTTCAGGTTACCAGAGACAGTTTCCCCCAGATGAATGACTACAGACATAATAAACACAGAATATCAGTCATGTGAATGTCTGAGGTGTAAAATGTAAAGTGCTTTGAGTGTTCAGTAATACACAGTAAAAGGCATAAATGCATTCATCTACACCTGAAGGAACACTGTGATTTCCTCCAGCCATATTTCACACCATCATTATTATCTAAAGGTCTAGTAGAGTTATTTTCTAATAATGTCTTGTTTTACAGGACATTAAATAACAGCCCATCTGTCATTACAGAGGCACACCGCAGGTCCATGATTACTGTGATCATAGGCTAAATCAAACATCTGTTTGGTCAAACACATTAAAGTACATAGTAAGACATAACTAACCTAACTAAGACTTTTATGTATAATTAATATTAAGTAGAATTAAATATAAACAAAAAAGCATGTCAAGTAAAGTCATACAGTTATCATCTTAATAACAGGCAGATAATGGGCCGTTAGTAAATGGTGTAAATTGTCAATCGTTAAACTAAAGTGTTACCTCACACCATGACCTAACAACACGCCACTTTCCCATCATAAAAGGAGTTTTTAATGTCTCTTTTAGAAATGCTTTCTGTTTCTGCAACATCGTGACAGAACAACAGCATAGACTATGACAGAGATCAGCTCAGCGGCTGAGTATATTCAGTGTTCAGTGCTCCCAGCGGGAGTTTAAATATCCTTTTACCTGACACGTATTAGACTGAAAGCAGCAGCAGGGCTCACCTCAGATCTGGAACATAAAATAACGAGCAGACGGGTGAAAATCAACATCAGAACAGAGATTCAATACTCAGCAGCCTGTTAATAATGATCAAGTCTAGTGTGTGGCACATTGTGTGTTTGTTAGCACTTTGGTCAGGGTCTGCATCTTCATATGTCCGGGCGTGTGTGTGTTGCAGGCAGTATTACCCAGCGTCCCCCACGCAGCCCGACCTTGGCTCCAGCTCCAGCTCTGCACTCCTCGGACTGCCTCCGGCACGGGAACAGCAGCGATGCGCGGGCCGTCCGAGCGGTGTGTTTGCTGATGGGTGGAGCGGCTGCGTCCTCTGCTCTGGGATACCTGAACTCCTGCCCCCCCGCTGCAGCCAGCTCCAACATGGTCGTCCGCGCTCCAGACATCAGCCACTCCACCGGCTTCTCGGACAGCGGCGCCTCATACCACGCCTGTAGCCAAGCCATCGAGTCTCCGCACTTCAACAGCTTCGACTTCGAGGGAGACTCCGACTTCGACGCCTTCGACTGTGGAGGATTTGCTTTCTGACACCACTGCTTCACCACAGTCTGAGGCTGATATGAACACACACGAGGAGCAGATTTACCAAGCAGACAACCTTAAAAACAGATTCCAGTAGGCAAGATTGATGACTCTGAACTGTTAGAAACCCTCCTCTTTAACATGTCAACTGCAGCAGAGTTTAATACTCAACCATCATTAGAGCCAGACACAATCTGTGGATAATATTGGCCACTTCTGCAGGGAATTTTGTACAATATCAGTCGATTTATGCAGGATGAGTGTATTAACTAAATCATTAATATACAAATACTACCTTTATTTAAGGTTTGAAATGCATTGGATCCCCTTGTTTGGTAAGACAAAGCAAGTCTGTCATATACTATATATTTACTACAAGACTGAGAACAGGACTTTATAAGCTGTACTGTGCATAAATCATAAACATTTGCCTATTAGTAATTTTACTGAAATCAATATTTATTGGTTTTCTTTCCAGCTTAGTTTTATTATTGAAGCTTTATTAATCTGAGGTCGCCACAGTGGAATGAACCATCAACTTATCCAGCATATGTTTTACACAGCGGATGCCCTTCAGCTGCAACCCATCACTGGGAAACATCCACACACACTCATTCACATACACAAACACGCACACACACACACACACACACACACACACACACACACACACACACACACACACACACTACAGACAATTTCAGCTTACCCAGTTCCCCTATAGCGCATGTGTTTGGACTGTGGGGGAAACCGGATCACCCAGAGGAAACCCACATGAACACGGGGAGAACATGCAAACTCCACACAGAAATGCTAACTGACCCAGCTGAGGCTCTAACCAACGACCTTCTTGCTGTGAAGCGACAGCACTACCTACTGCGCCACTGCATTACCCTGAAATGAATACACAAACTGAACAAACACATATTTACATGCATTTAAATAAGTAAATAAGTAAACTCGCTCAGGGCTTAAATTGTGCAGGAACACACCGGATCCGGATCCGGCACCTTTAAAATCTGATATGGCACCTCATTTTACTGATCCCCCTGCTCAGCCGCCCTCCCCTTCCATCCGCTGTTCATTTTCACTTACTTCCGCAACTCCCCAACCCTCTTCACTTTCGTCCACAACACCCCTCTGCCATCCAATGCCAACCACAACACCCCGTTACCCCGATCTGTGCTGGAACCTCGCAACACACACATGGAGCACTGAACTGGATGATGTGCTGAATGAAGCCATCACTACATGTGCACTGTTTTAAACAGCATCCCTTTACACAACACGGAGTTTCTTATATTTTTCTTTTAAATGTACTCAGACTCAGAAAGGCCCTTGTCAGATTTTGTGAGTCACCTGACAGTGATGTCCTTTAATTTAATGTTATGTATGTAATGTAAAACACATTGCAGGTCTCTTTATGCATTTATATTTCTCCATTATCTTAATCAACTGTGAGGGTTTAAAGGTTTAATGTTGTATAATATTTACTGAAGATGTGTGTAGTTACATGAATAGTATGATGCACATATTGTCATTATATTTATCCTTATTGTATCCTGATTAAGATGAATCTGCTTTTTCAGGGTTTTGAAAACTTTCGTATGTCTGAAAAGTGGATCCTTTCACCCTTTCCTCATTCATATTTCCCTTTAGCTGATATTGTTTTCTCCGTGTGACCGTGTTTTGATGAGCTTTTATTAAATGGAAATATAATGTTAAGCATTAAGAGTGTGTCCATCATGTTGCCAGTGTGGTAAATGACTGTAGTAAACACAAACAAACATACTCTATACAGTAGCTGGTCAGGCTGAATGAGACACTACCCAGAGACTTGCACAAACACACATTTTCACCAGTACCAGTAGACTTGAGCTTGCCCGTGGCCTAGATTTGATTGGTGCAGTTGTTGTATAATCAAAGACTGTCAGATAATTAAAGATATGAAACATCGTAGATTCATTCATAAAGCAAGCATTTGTGAACTAAGGTGTGTTTGTGCTTTTATGCGAAGTCAGTTTAAATGCAGCGAATTTTAATTTTACATAGTTAACACGTGTGCAGTGTTGTCCATATAATCTCACTTTATATATTGCGATAAAACAAAGATAAGGTGTAGTTTTTAAAGCAGAAATATAGGCTTGAGCTTTACATTTTCAACCGCTGTTAGTGAATAAAGTGTCTGAACTAATATTAAATGTTAAATATTAATTGCTTAGGTTTTATCATGTAATTGTCTGACTTTACACAGTTATTATAAGGTTAATTATAATGACTGATGTTACACTGATGGGTCAGGCTTTACTTAGAAAATGTGGCTCAGAAGTGTACTCTTTAAAATAAGTGAGCGGTTTCTGTAGTTTAGCACTGGTATTACAATGCTGCATAGAGGTTTGGTTTTTAATGTCACACAGTAAGTTGTGGCCCAATTGTTGAGTTAGCATAAGTACACTAGAATCATTCATTCATTTTCTTGTTGGCTTAATCCCTTTAATTATCCGGGGTCACAACAGTGGAATGAACCGCCAACTTATCCAGCACGTTTTTACGCAGTGGATTAATACTCTCTTAACTATTTGCTGACCCTAACCAAAGTTATAGTGTATTGTGTGTGTGTGTGTATATGTGTGTGTGTGTGTGTGTGTGTGTGTGTGTGTGTGTGTATTTGTGTGTGTGTGTATAAATACATATATGAAGCATTCAGATGAAAAAAAAAATCACCACCTGAAATTTCCATCGCAAATAACCCTTTTTCTCAGCCTCTTTTGTTTATGATGCAGTATTCCACTTTAAAAACCATGGAAAGAACTTAAACTTTGCCTTAAAAGTGCTATTAGTGAACCTACACACAGGAGCTGATAACAATGCAGATTTTATAAGAATAGTTCAGATGGCATTTAGAGTTTTTTGATCTGAACTGTTCATATATATATATATATATATATATAAACACTGTATTTGGCATTAAACGTGAAAATGATGACCTCAGTATGTGTTTATTTCATATACAGGTTCCGGTTGGTTGAGTCAAACAAGCCCCGAGTGCCTGAATGAGGTGTGAAATACAGCCATTCCTTCACCTCTATGATAATGCAGATGTCTGAGGGCTAAAGTCATGCTGATTAGATCAGGGTGGGGGAAACCTGTGGGGGAAAGAGGATTCCAGCACTACTTCTGATAAAAGGAGGTACATTTAGTTTTAGCAATACAGATGAGTTTCTGCAATCAGAAGAGAACAGATTAGCAGCATTTTGATCAATCCATAGTGAAAAGTCCTGCAGAGTAAATGATTACATCCACCTTCAGTATTGTCGTAATGTGCTAACTGCTAGAGTTCTCTTGACTCATGTATATGTAAGGTATTGACAGCAGAAATGAGGTTAGGGTGCACCTGGTTAATGTGTACAAACTTGCCACATTCCTCACCCCTGTCCCACTGCTTACACCGCCCCCTTCTGCTCTGCTCTGCTCTCCATATAAAACACAAACAGATGCAGAGACAAACAGAACTGATCAGTCAGAGGAATGGAGCTCTCAAGCTCACTACTGCTGGTTTTGGTCTTGACTGTGTTGATGTTGATCAGATGGAGGAGGAAGGAGAACGGACTTTCTTTGCCCCCGGGGCCACTGGCACTGCCACTGATCGGAAACTTACTAACACTGGACAAAAGTGCCCCATTTAAGAGCTTTATGAAGGTAAGGGAGAATGCAGGATTCATCTTGTTTAAACAAAAGCACATGAGAATTGTCATGCAGTAAACGTGTTTCTGTCTGCTGCAGACGTTATGGGCAGCTAACATTAATGCTCTTTTAACTAGGGTCTGAAAACTAATCTGACTAACTGATCTAACCTGCAGTTTGTCTTGTGCAGTTGTGTAATTCAGCTTTTGTTTTTTCTGTGCCAATTTATTATAAAAACAACAACATGATTTTATTCCTGTATTTCATCTTTCATCAAATGTCTTCATTGCTGAGTGGTAACAGCAGTCTTTAGTCACACAGCAAATTCCAAGCATGTCATGGTATATGATGATTGAGACAAAACCCACCAGTCACAGTTTATACTGATTAACATGCAGTTAATGAAGGCAGGATCTGGTGTTGATAGAGAGCATGGATGAGATTAAGCCAGTGTCATATACAGCCAAACACCTGAATGAGCATTATAAGGAACGATGATACAAACGTAAACCTGTGCCAATGGCCCATCTAAATGCTGAATCATCATTTAAGCAGTGGAAAGACACCAGTAAAACAGCTTGTAAACAATGTTATACAACATGGCGGATTTACCTCAAGAAACCTGTAAATTGTCAAGAAAAATCATTTAGAGAAAAGCACGTGGCTATATACTATGCAACATGTTTTGTGTTGTGCTCATGTGTTTGTGTGCTCAATTCCAGGTTAACTGTTATCCTGCATATGCAGATCTTCATACATCTGATTTTTTGTGTTTTTTACCAGACTTACAGCTTTGTCCATAAGCAATGTTTTTTAGCAATATCAATTCAACTTAAGTCTTTGCAAATAGGGTTCAATTTCTTATTGCATTAGATGGGGCAATGGTAGATGATCACAGCTGGATGAAAAGGTTGAAGAAGTGGGCTTTGGATACCTCTTATCTTCAGGCAACTCTGAATGATCTGCTGGTGCGGTAAGAATCTAACCAGCAGAACAGGGTTCCAGGGATGCCCATTCAGGAAAGGGTGGACCTAAATCTGATGATTCACTGTTAAAAAGCAGCAGATGGGTCCAGCAAGAGCAGAATGGGTGATGCAGAACCTGCTTTGACAATCTGCAGGCCTTCAGAAACCAAGAGTAGAGCAGTCACAGTGGAACAGCCACATTTACAGCCTGATGGATTTGCATCCAGGAGATTATTCTGTGCAAGAAATGTGACAATAGTGTTTTCCAGTGATTTGCAGATGAAACCAAGGAGAGAGAATAGTGTGTAATTTTCAACCATTGAGATATTAAGTGATGTTATTTGAGCAGCAGTGCGACCTGGACCTGTTGAAGGTGTTAGGGAATGTGCCCATGCGGAGTGAAGTGTTGCCAGCACAATAGTCGGGGCAATGTCCTGCAGGGTGTGTGAGTGGTTTGGGTCCAGAGGGCAGCTTGTTTTTTAAACATGAGATTTTTTTAAGCAATCCTCAAATATCAAATATTTTTGAGTTGCCACATAATTTTTTATCAAATGAAACGTGTTTCTGAGATCAATGTCATTGTTTTCCAACCAGTTTATTTTCTCATTAGTGTTTGATAATGATGTCTGTTCTTTTAATCAGTGGAGAAAAACCTATGGGTCTGTGATGACGGTGCACCTCGGGCCTCAGAGAATGGTGGTACTGGTGGGTTACGAAACAGTGAAGGAAGCTCTGGTGGACCAGGCTGACGACTTTGCACCCAGGGCTCCCATTCCCTTTATGAACAGAATTGTGAAGGGCTACGGTGAGGGATTTGTTTATTTACTTTGTTTAAAAAACATAAACTATCAATTTAATGTGTCCTAGCTAAAGTATTTGTTTGTAGGTCTGGCCATCAGCAATGGTGAACGCTGGCGTCAACTGAGGCGGTTCACGCTCACCACACTGAGGGATTTTGGAATGGGACGCAAACGAATGGAGCAGTGGATTCAAGAAGAGAGCAGATACTTGCTCAAGAGTTTTGAAGAAACCAAATGTGAGGAAACAGAGTACATGACATTTACATGAGTTTCATATTCGAGCTGTGTTCTGCACTCACAGCTGTCAGAGATGTGTAATAACATTAAGGCTTTTCTTCTTCAGCCAAACCAGTTGATCCAACATTCTTCTTTAGTCGGACTGTGTCCAACGTCATCTGCTCTCTGGTGTTTGGGCAGCGCTTTGATTATGAAGACAAAAACTTCCTGCAGTTGCTCCAGATCATCTCCAAACTACTGCGATTTTTAAGCAGCCCTTGGGGACAGGTGAGACCGTGTAACTGCTTGTAACTATGTTTGTATGCTTTCAACACCTTAGCCTTCAGTATTAAACAATATAGACAGAGAATTGGCAAATGTGTTTCTCTAACATCTCCATCACTGTAATTTTCACTTCCTTATTTGACAAGCCTGATTGAGCTCTAAACAAAGAGAGTCACAGAAGAGAGCTACAGCCTAGAGTGTAAATAAAGGTCCAGAAATGTCCTTACCTTACCTGTGATCTGATTCCCAACAGCTCTACAACATCTTCCCCCAAGTAATGGAAAGCTTTTCTAGTAGACATCACGCCATCTTAAAAGACGTAGAAAACATCCGGACCTTCATTAGGAACAAAGTTAAGGAACATGAACAGAGATTAGACTTCAGTGACCCAAGTGATTTTATTGACTGCTTCCTTATCAGACTCACTCAGGTATCTAATTGTCTTATTGCTGTGCTTTCTTATCTTCTGCAGCGTATAACACATGTTTAAACCTATTGATCAGACATACTATAGCCTACAATTCTGTTCTGCCTTTGTTTTGCACTATAACAGGAAAAAGACAAGCTTGACACAGAATTTCACAAAGATAACTTGATGGCGACAGTTTTAAACCTGTTCGTAGCTGGTACAGAGACCACCAGCACAACTCTGAGATATGCCCTGATGCTGTTGATCAAACACCCCCAAATACAGGGTAAGACCTTTTAAAGGCATATTTACACCAAGCAAAGTAACACAACAACTTATTGCATACTATCTCATTTTGCATTCAGATTTTAGGTGCAAAGGCTGAGGCTAGGGGTTTAGTAACCGCTAGCACGTTTGTACATTTGTACAATGAATGTGACCTCTTTAGTTTTAGCCATGACTCCCTGAGAAGAAACAAAACTCAGAATCTGTGACACTTTTAAAAGCAACTGCAAGATTTTAAGTCAGTCACCCTAACCCACAATAAGGCTAACCATAACAATGTTGCACAAAACTTTACAACTGCTGTAGAAGAATAGCAGTACAGTGAGCTGCTATGGGCGAGGCAGTGGCGCAGTAGGTAGTGCTGTTGCCTCACAGCAAGAAGGTCGCTGGTTCGAACCTCAGCTCAGTTGGCGTTTCTGTGTGGAGTTTGCATGTTCTCCCTGCCTTCGCATGGGTTTCCTCCGGGCGCTCCAGTTTCCCCCACAGTCCAAACACATGTGGTACAGGTAAATTGGGTAGGCTAAATTGTCCATAGTGTATGAGTGTGTGTTTGAATAAGTGTGTGTGGATGTTTTCCAGAGATGGGTTGCGGCTGGAAGGGCATCCGCTGCGTAAAAACTTGCTGGATAAGTTGGTGGTTCATTCCGCTGTGGCGACCCCGGATTAATAAAGGGACTAATTGAACTAACAGTGAACAAACCTCTAGCAGAGCGATGACACAAAACAGATGAAGTATCTTGACAAGAATGTCTGTAAATACTCAATTTAAATGTACAGTTGTGTTCTTATGAAAGTTACTCTTGCATTAGTTGAGGATAAATTGCAACCTAGCATCCCGTTATGTCACATATTTGTTCATGATTGGTGCTACTGACCCTTATTCACAGCTTATTGGAGGTCTATCAAACTGACATTTATACTAACCAAGCGCAGTCCACAGACCACTCCTCTATCCTGTGAGCTAAAGGTCTCATTATGCAATAAAATCTCAAAAAATATTCTTGAAAATATGCTCAAATGTATTAGTTTGTGTAGATAGAGCCAACAATGCAATCTAATGCAATATGTAGGGTCTTTGCTTTCTTTACAATTATTCTATTTTTTCAAATGTTTTTGTTTAAGAGCAAATGCAGAGGGAGATAGATCGCGTTATTGGACAGAACAGAATTCCTACAATGGAGGACAGAAAGTCTCTCCCCTTCACTGATGCTGTGATTCATGAAGTGCAGCGCTATATGGACATTGTGCCTCTAAGTCTTCCCCACTATGCCATGAAAGACATCACTTTCAGAGGCTATAAAATCCCCAAGGTAACAATGGACATTTACTGTCTTTGAGTTTTATTAATGAACAGTAAATGCATGGTTGGAGGAGATATATTATTGAAAAAAAATAATAATATCCCGCAGTAATCCTCAGTTTATTTGTTGTGTGCATATGGATATTGTGTGTAATTGTAAATCTATTTTGCCAGGACACAGTGATTATTCCCATGCTGCACTCTGTCTTAAGGGATGAGGGGCAGTGGGAAACCCCTTGGACGTTTAACCCGGAACATTTTCTGGACTCCAATGGCAACTTTAAGAAGAATCCAGCCTTTATGCCCTTTTCTGCAGGTAAACCCTTGTCCACAGGTAGCTATTCATTAATGACAGAACAGTATATGACTAGCAGAATGTCTTCACTACATTTTTATTATCAGACCATAGCTTTTAGGTATAAATAATCAATAGCCCAGTGGTTAGTGGGTTGACGCATGGTGCAGCAGTGCTCCGGGCTTCTCGAGTTTAAATCCCAGCTCTTGGACCTTTCTTTATCCTACCTCCCTCTCTCTCCCACTTCACTTCCCATCAGTCTAGTGTCCTGTCAAATAATGACAAAAATAAATTGAAAAAAAAATGTTTCCTTGATCAACTGAGTCTAATTTCCACTGGTTATTGGTGTGTTCATGAAGAAATCACTAGCTCTGCTCTTCTACATTGTATCTCTGCAGGTAAACGCTCATGTGTGGGGGAGTCTCTGGCCAGTATGGAACTCTTTCTGTTCACCGTGTCTCTGCTTCAGAAGTTCACCTTCAGTAGTCCTAATGGTCCAGATGGAATTGACCTCAGTCCTGAACTCAGCAGCTTCGCCAACATGCCTCGTTTCTATGAGCTTATCGCATCCCCTCGCTGAGCAATGTGGAGATTACAGCTGATTTTAAAAGACTATTGAGATAAAACTGTGAGAGAATGTTTACTATCAGAGTAATCCTCTTGTCATCATGTTTGCACTGGTTTTATCATCGTTCTCTTCACTATACTCTGCTGTTTAAGCTAATCGAACTTCAGACACTAAACACTGTAGATCTGCTTTGAATTATTAATCCACAGTTACACTCTGTGAAATAAAGGTACAAGGGCTGTCACTGGGCAGTATATTTTCAAAAGGTACATATTTGTACCTGAAGAGTCCATGTTAGTACCTCAAAGGTACATTTTAGATGCATTTGGGAACTGATATGTACCTTTGAGGTACTAATATACCTCATAAACTAACAATATAAACTCTTTAGGAACAAATATTTACTTTTTGAAAAGGTACTGCCCCAGTGACAGCCCTGTACCTTTATTTCTGAGAGTGTATAAAGGAATTTCTTTGAATACTTCTGTTGACAACACAACTGTACTGCAAATACCATCTCTTCTGGAGACGGTGTGTTCACTATATAGATATATGATCTTCAAGTGTCATGATCAGCACTGCTGTTGTATGTTTAAATCAGCATTGCATGGCTGGACCTGTACGGGACAAGTCAAATGGACTCAAAATATGGGGTAGTTGGCAACTAGGGGCTGCTTTTAACCCACCCTATAAGAGCCCAACATTGAACACACCGTCACGACTTTTGTCTGATAATTTGTTTACTTAAGGGTATGCCATTATTTTTCTGTATGTTTAAAATCAGCAGATTATACAATGCATTTTACATGTCATGTACTTTCTGCTTACTGTTTATTTTTGTCTCATCATGTGTTTCTGTCTGGCACCCAGTCCACTACCGTGCTTGCTCCTCCTACTACTGCCTCTAATTGGCTGTTTAACTTTTTCTTGCTGCAGCCAATCCCATTACTGCTGCTTTCTGATTGGCTCCTATTTCACAACTCTTCTCCACTCCCAGCCAATCCCTGAATGCCACCTATGCTTTAAAAAGTCTTCAGTCCAATAGTTCTAAGCCAGCATAAGTGTGATGGTATGTTCTGAGTCACACGCAGCCTTAAAACATTCTAAATAGCAGGACTTCTGCATCAAAACAGGATGTACTATATGACTTCTTACTGAACATTTATGGAATAAATCACAGGGAAGTAAGAGTAGAATATTTATGGATTCCTGCCCTTGTGGGAATAGAAGGGAAAGAAGAGGTTGATCAGTCAGTAAAAACAGCATTGGGGAAAGAGGAGGTGGAAACAAGAGGTCCCACCATGTAAAATGGAAATAAATAATGCGGTTATCAATCTTTGGCAAGAGGACTGGAATTCAGAATTAAAGGGAAGACATCTATATAATATCCAATCTAAAGTGAGGACAGAAATAAAGAAAGGAAGGTATATGGGAACAGGAAGAAAGACACTAAAGTGACTAGGCTCCGTATAGGGCACTCCAATCTACATAGTTTACTGCATATGATAGGGAAATGTGCTGCAGTCATTGCAGAAAAACAAACAGTTGAGCATGTGTTAATAAAGTGTGAAGCATATAGATGAGAGAGGAATCAGCTAATTAAAAAGTAAAGAGATTTGGAAATTAATGTTATCTCAATTAAAGACATTTCAAAATGTACAGGAACAGCAGGAGGTCGATGATTTTATTTTAACTTTTTGAGGAGTGCAGGTTTAATTAACAGGATTTAATTTGTTGCTATTTTTATAAATAATAAAGAATATTCAGAGTTATTCTTCTGCTCATTGAGGTCTTGCACTCCAACACAGTAGGTGGCGGAAATGCACCTTAAGCTGGTTTGCCACCTGCCATTAAACCAAAAAGAAGAAGTTCTGGGGCAGAATGCTGATTTATCAGAAAAAAATAGATGAATACATTTCATGATCAGGAATCTGCAGTTGCTGGAGGATAAAGGGCCATCTGGAAGTACATTAGATATTGAATTTACATTATGTGAGTTAAAGCATTGGCAGGAGGTAAGGATTTTTATTTATTTTTTGTTATGTAATGATTAAACATCTGTCAGATAATTCAGTTTGCGTCATACTGAAACTATTTAATACGTATGGGAGTCAGGTATACCAGCTGAATGGAAGCATGGTGTCATAGTACCAATTGCAAAACCCTGTAACTATAGGCATATAGCATTAACTTCAAATAATTGTAGATTAATGGAGCGTATGGTGATGAGCTGACTGGTTCCTGTCATTGAGAAGGAAAACCTCTTCTCCTCATATCAAAGTGGTTTCCAGAAACGCTGAAGTACAATGGGTTGTGTGATCTGTTCGGAAGCTGAAATTAGAAAGGCCCAAGTAAATAAGGAAGTGTTGGTGTATTTTTGATGTTGAAGCATATGACAAAGAGGGACATTTAATTAAATTAGAAAAAGAGAAATTAAAGGGAAATTTATAAATGGATCAAGAACTTGTTGCTCAAAACAACAAGACAAGTCAGAGTGGGTTCTGCATCCTCTCAAATACATCTGGTAGAGAAAGAAACTCCACAAGGAAGCGTTAGTAGCCTGGTTTTATTTAATATTATGATTAATGATTTTTTTTTTTCAAAAATAGAGTCGGGGACTGGAAGATCATTATATGCAGATGATGGTGCGTTATGGAACAGGGGGAGAGATGTAGAACATGTGGAAAGGTGCACGCAGAATGCAGTTAGTGTAGTACAGAATTGGGCAGATGAGTGGGGGTTTCCATTCTCTATTGCTAAAACTCAACTTATGTGTTTATCAGTAAAGATAGTTAACCCAATTATAAGAATTACATTACAGACAGAAAATAGAGCAGGTGTCGGTGGTCAGATTCCTCGGCATATGTGAGTGTAAAATTGAATTTTAATATTCAGTCCACATTCAGATAATAATAGATAGATGTGAGAAAGGACTGCATGTGATGAGATTTGACAGGAGCTGGGAACATGTTGTTTCTCTCCTTAAAGAATATTTAACGCACTGGAAAGTATTGAATATGGTTTATAGTTCAGCAGCTAAAACTCAACTGTGAAGAACTGAAGCAGTTCTGTCTCAAGCATTGAGAATATGCTGCGGAGCAATAAGAACAACACCTATAACAGTAGTAGGAATCATTAATAAGTCTGTGCATCATATTTTATTTGCACATTTATTGAATAGAAATGTTTTTGATTTACGCATGCAAATTCATCTTCAGATAGTGTCTTTATAGCAATGTGTGTGCAGTAGATCGCTCAGATTACATTGGGAAAACAGACGACTGCTGCAAATTGTGCTTTAATGTTTGGCTGGTCAACTGTATGGTATGGAAACCTTACATACCTACTAGATGAACCCATCTCATACAGCTGCCATTGCAAGGCTCAGACACTTTGTAGAGAGGAATTTAACACAACTGCCTCTAGGAGTCGCCAATGGAAATAAAACAGACACGCACAAAAAATGTGCGTATGCCTGCCAGAAAGCTGCCGTGAAGCTGCGCACATTCCCACGTTCAGTTCATCTTTAGTAAATCCAAACGTAAGTGATTCTGAGCGTGAAACCTGCCGTACGCAAAGTTTTTGTGCGTACGCAGCGTTGATACATGAGACCCCAGGAATAAGCAACAAAACTCCAGTATTTTTTTCTGTTTATTTTAATTTGTCAGAGGTGTTTTGTTCACAGCAACAAAACTAAAATGCTTCTTGTGATATGACAATAAAAACACAGACTAATGAAAATACAAAAAAAAAATTATAATTGTGCATTAAAATTATTCAATTAACTTTAAATTGAAATCTCTTTTAACGATAATGCTCCAAAAATGTATAAGCTTGCTTCATCTGCTGCTGCAAATGAGGCTGGTGCTTTTGAACAGTTTTGAAGAGTAGGTCAAACATTAGTTTCTGCCATAGCTGAAGTTGTTTAGTGTTGCTGTCACTGCTGATGGACCGGGCTGAACTCAACTCTGTAATAAAATGAGCACTGTAGCAAAATTAATACGGCCAGACTGAGAAGAAGATTTACTGTTACGTTTGTTAATACCACCACGACGACCAGGGCAGAGACTCAGCCCAAACTGACCCAGAACAAAACCAGGATCAACATAGTTGTTGATTCAGGAACATGTCCTACTTGGTGAAGGCCCACTCATCTAACTAAATAGTTTCTCATCTTTTGTTTTAAAGTTATAGTTCACAAAGGAATTAAAATCTACCCACATTTAATTCACCCTATTAATGAGTTTTCACAAAGAAGATATTTTAAAGTATGTTCCTGTTTGTTTTTTTATTTTTTTTATTGAGCAGATTAAATAAACTCAAAGGTTTGTGGCCGAGTGTTTGTTTATAGTTTAGTAGTATAAAAGTTCATCTGCAGTGTGTCAGTGAGCAGGCTGAAGGACAGCTCTGGAATCTCTGTGAAAGTTGACTCAGCTCATCTGTGATTCATCAGATCAGGTAATGTCAGCAGATATGATGTGCACTCATTTACACTTACAAACACTTACACTAAAGTCCAAATTCAAGCTGCTTTTTATCTGTTAGTCATTAAGTGAGTAATTATTATTTTTCGAAAGCAAGTTAAGATTATTGTTTTGTGTGTTTTAACAACAGTTTCTTTATTTCAGCACATGTTTCCATTATACTAAATATTATTTTGTGTCTGGAAAGCCTCACATGAGGCTGACATCTTTCATTGTGTCTATTATAATATACAGTATGTTTTATGTTTTTGTTTGAAAAGAAAGCAACACAATCAGTTACTGTTAATATTATTTTACAAATCTCACAACCCGTTTTTAACAATTTCAGATGTTTATAGAAACTCCTAAAAGTTTATTACCAAAAAGTCATTATTGTAATCTTCACTGTATTAAATGACTTTATTGGAGTTTATTTCTGAAAACCTATAACTTCTGTTTTGTTTGTTTTTCCTCTCATTCCCTTCACAGATTCTGGTCTGCTTTGTCGTGTTTTGTGTGTGAAAGCTGCATTTTTATTCCTGCAGTCCGTCATTTAAACACCTGCCTTCACCTTCTCCTCAACATTGCTCTTATCTCCCCTTTCACTCATATTCATTCTTTGTTTGTGTGACGGTGAGTCTGTGTCAATGAGAACAGAGGTGAATGCTTATTAAGCTGAAATGTAATGTTACATTACCGACAGTCAGTCTGATATCTGACTGGGTCAAGAGTAAACACGAGGATAATGCAGACCATGTAAACCTTGCACAAACTCTTTTAGTAAAGCTGCAAATCACAGGGAGACAAAACTATACCAAACCTTGCATTATTCATTGCTTGGTTCATTCATTTTCCTTCGGCTTATACCTGATTTATTAGGGGTTGCCACAGTGGAATGAACTGTCAACTACTCTGGCATAAGTTTTAGACAGCGGATGCCCTTAACCCAGTACTGGAAAACACACACACACACACACACACACACACACACACACACACACATACAATCACATACACTACAGCCAGTGTAGTTGATCAGTTCCCCTATAGCACATGTGTTTGGACTGTGGTGAAAACCGGAGCACCCGGAAAAAACCCATGCCAACACGGGGAGAACATGCAAACACACACAGCAAAGCTAACTGGCTCAGCTGCGACTCGAACCAGCGACCTTCTGGCTGTGAGGCATCATAAAAATGTTTAAAAGCTTTTGAGGAACCTACAGTAAAGTATCAAAACTGGAAATAAAGAGTACAGAGACCCAACATGATAAACCCATCTGAGATACAGTGTTGACATCAGAAGCAGAATCTCAGAGAGGTTACGCAGTGGTGAAAATGCCTGAGCAAGAGTTGAATATACAGCATTTACATATACATGTTAATGCAAAAACTGACAGACTTCTGATGCAAATCAATGATAATAATTTGAAATTGATTAGGGTCTTTGTGAAAACACACTATGGTACTGCTGGTTGGAGGAAATAGTCAGGACTGGTTGGTACGTTTATCAAGGTTAGGGTGCACCTGGTTAATGTGTACAAACTTATCAACTTCCTCACCTCTGTCCCATTCCTGTCTTAAACACCCCTGTCTGCTCTGCTCCTGCTTCATTATAAAAACCTGCAAAGCCACAGGGAAAACAGATGCAGAGACAAACAGAACTGATCGGTAAGAGGAATGGAGCTCTCAAGCTCACTGCTGCTGGTTTTGGTCTTGACTGTGTTGATGTTGATCAGATGGAGGAGGAAGGAGAACGGACTTTCTTTGCCCCCGGGGCCACTGGCACTGCCACTGATCGGAAACTTACTAACAGTGGAAACAAGTGCACCATTTAAGAGCTTTATGAAGGTGAGAGTGATGGCAGGGATGTGTATTTCTGAACTTTATGCTTGAAATATTAAGATCTTTTTGGCAAGGTGTTATAATATTGTAACCTTTGAGTCATGTGAGGATTATTACCAACACATTACACTGCAGTTGTGTTAATCTGAACATCATAATACCATTTCATTGTTTTCTGTGAGTCATTGGTTTTAATGTAGCAAATACTGTCTGAATAGCTCAGAAAATGTTTATTGATATGTTGCTGTTAATTCTGTTCTCTAAAACAGTGGAGCAAATCCTATGGGCCGGTGATGACGGTGCACATCGGGACTCAGAGAATGGTGGTTCTGGTGGGTTATGAAACAGTAAAAGAGGCTCTGGTGGACCAGGCTGAAGACTTTGCATCCAGAGCTCCCATTCCTTTTACCAACAGAGTTCTAAGAGGCTATGGTGAGAATAATGTGTATACTTGTGAAAGACAGACATTATCGGTATAATGGAGAAGAGTCTAGATTTTGACCGCCTTTACATGTTGGTAGGTCTGATCATCAGCAATGGTGAACGCTGGCGTCAACTGAGGCGGTTCACGCTCACCACACTGAGGGATTTTGGAATGGGACGCAAACGAATGGAGCAGTGGATTCAAGAAGAGAGCAGATACTTGCTCAAGAGTTTTGAAGAAACCAAATGTGAGGGATCAGATTATTCAGCATTTACATCCCATGAGTTCAGTATTAGAGTTGTGGTATAAATGGAGATTCTGGAACTCACAGATGTATAATAAGAGTTTTCTCCTTCAGCCAAACCAGTTGATCCATTATTCTTCATGAGCCGGGCTGTGTCCAACGTCATCTGCTCCCTGGTGTTTGGGCAGCGCTTTGATTATGAAGACAAAAACTTCTTGCAGTTGCTCCAGATCATCTCTAACCTCATGCGATTTGCAAGCAGCCCTTGGGGACAGGTGAGCCACTGAGACAGTGTGGGGCAGGTTTGAGAATGAAGAATGTTTTGGAAAAAAAAAAAATTTAAAGTATGGTCGTTATAGTTTCCACAAGACTTATTGTATTGGTTTCAAACCGCCTCCTATCTGTTGGGAAGAAGGAGGTAGAGAACTAAACACGTAACGAATTTATTAAAGGGGAAAAAAACAAACAAACAGCTCCTTACAGAGACTGCCGCTGAACTGAAAACAAACACAATGTAAACGTGTCCAGGCCTGGACTTCTCTCATCCCCCTCTGTAGCCACTCTTATAATCTAGAGCTCCTCCTCGGGACTCGAGGTCGGTGTGTGCCACATGTGCTTCTCGTTCTCACCGGCCTCATTACATTCCCACAGCTCTCAGCCCCGCCCCCTCACCACACCTATATAGATTAAAAGCAAAACAATTGATCAGCTAACTGAGCTTTCAACGCTGCTGTGCTTTTACTAGAGCTGATCAACTCAGTCTTAGCGGTGTACTGTCTACAAAGCGGCAACAGTTTGTTTTGGATTAAATCATGTATTCTGTAGAAGGCAGCATGCAGCTATCTCTCTTTAAATCTCACATTCTTCCTCACTGAAGCTAAGCACAGTTGAGTCTGGTTAGTGCCTGAATAGGAAATCACATGGGAAAAAAATACTATAACAATAACAAACTGCAGTTATTATTACTGATATCTCTGGAACTATCTTGTCATTCCTGACAGCTCTACAACATCTTCCCTAAAGTCATGGAGATCTTACCAGGTAGACATCATACCATGTTTGGAGAGATTGATGATCTCAAATCCTCCATAATGACAATTATCAAGGAGCATGAGGAGAATTTGGATCCCAGTGACCCAAAGGACTTTATTGACTGCTTTCTTATCAGGCTCAATCAGGTATAGAAAGCAAAGAAAAATACACAATTATTGTTCTAGTCTATCTGCAGGTCAATTGCCATATACACATATGCCTTTTCTCCTTTTCTGTTCTCTACAACAGGAGAAACATAATCCTGATACAGAATTCCACAAGGAAAACATGTTTGCCACCTCTTTAAATCTGTTTACAGCTGGTACAGAGACCACCAGCACAACTTTAAGATACGCTCTAATGCTCCTGATCAAGCACCCTCACATTCAGGGTAGGTCCAAAACATTTGTTGGGTGTATGATTGATGTTGTGTTAAGCTCATCTAGCTCTACTCACACACGTCAGTTCTGTGGTGACTGTATTTCACTGCTCTTTATTGTTTGTACAGGGTGCACACATGAAGACTCCAACATATTTTAAACATGTTATTTTAAACAAGTCTGAAACATTTCGTAGCTTCTTTGTTTTAAACTTATGTTCTGGAAAGAACTGAAAAAAGTAACACATTTAAACATAACTTTGTAAGTGTCTTGTGTGCTTCTCTGCCATACTGCACTTACGTCTGGATTTTTCCACAATTACTAAATAAAATTAATATAGTTTTCTCTGATCCAGAGCAAATGCAGAAGGAAATAGATTGCGTTATTGGACAGAACAGAATTCCAACAATGGAGGACAGAAAGTCTCTTCCCTTCACTGATGCTGTGATTCATGAAGTGCAGCGCTGTCTGGACATTGCACCACTGAACGTTCCCCATTATGCCCTGAAAGACATCACTTTCAGAGGCTATAAAATCCCCAAGGTAACAATGAATGGGTCAGCTCAGTTTGTCTTGAACAACACAAGATTGTAGAAACTGCACAAAATTTACTGTAGTAATCTAGCTGGCCGGGATATTGTGTGTAATTGTAAATGGATTGTATTTCCCCAGGACACAGTAATTATTCCCATGCTGCACTCTGTCCTAAGGGATGAGGGACATTGGGAAACCCCTTGGACATTTAACCCAGAGCACTTTCTGGACTCCAATGGCAACTTTAAGAAGAATCCAGCCTTTATGCCCTTTTCTGCAGGTAAATTCTTGAAGATCTTGCATGTTAATCCAGAGTAAGTCAAAGTCATCTTCCTTGCAACATCAACAAATACTACTACTACTACTACTACTAATAATAATATTAATACCAATATGAATGCAGTTAAGTGGTATTGAGTACTAAGAGCATTGTGAATCCTCTTCAAAAAAACAAAAAACAAAACAAAAAAAAACCTCTCTTTATGAATAATAAATAGTTAATTTGACCCTCATAGTCCAGAAGAGATTGCATTTCTTTTATTAAAACTGGGGCTTATTGAATGTAGAAAGAACAGCTGGACCTCTGTGCTCAACTCCTAAACTCTGTCATAAAACATGTTTATTTAGTCCACAGAACTCACATTTTCTAAACTGCTAGTACTTGCCAGATTCTCAATTATTCTGAAAAAGGTGTTAAACTTTAGGGTGAAGGGTTAGGAAAAGAGGGGAACATTACTGTGCCCGAGGTGCCACTGCAGAATCAGTCATATTTGCACTAGAGAACACTCCATGGTGAGTGAGAGTTCTGTGATAATGGTGCTTTGTTTACACATTGTCTGCGTGGGTCTCATGTGTCAGATTTTATTTGTTAAATAGGAAAACAGACTACACTTCCCCCTGGTGGTATGAAGACACAAGTCCTCTCATACAGACACAGATTAAACACACATTTTAGTCTGTTGCAATTACTTTAGTTTGATCATGTGTTGCCTTTTAGATGCAGATTAGATTCAGATGGGACTAGATGTGGTCAATGCAAGGCAGCAACACAGTTGGTTTTTGTCAACTTTAGTTATTTGGTGTTGGCTTGGTGTCTCCTGGCCCTAAGAGTGGAGGCTCGATCAATAACACTGAGCTTCTGCTGCTCTGTATGCAGCTGAAAAGAGCCAGGGTGAGCTACTAGAGGCCATTGACTCTTGGATTCTTCCCTTCTTCTTTTAGTTTAACTTACTATGTCCAACATTTTACTTCTCAAATATGCTAATTCCTCATTTGTAGTAGACTCACAATTGACATGTAGCACTGAAATGTAGCATACAAACATGCATCATGCCACGTAAGCCTCTGAAAAGAAATAAGTTTGAGGATGTGAAGATGTAGACAGTCTTTTATGGTTAAGGTCTCTGCCATTAAAGGGAAACACTGTATATATAAACAATATATTCGCAGTATACCATAAGACCAGGGCAATTGATAATATAAGAGTAGAGCTCCATGCAGAGTTGGCTAAAATGTACTTATCAAATTTTAAATAAACAGCATTACTGATCAGGGTCTTTTATTTTGTCTCTACAGGTAAACGTGTGTGTGTCGGTGAGTCTCTGGCTCGTATGGAGATCTTTCTGTTTATCGTGTCTCTGCTTCAGAAGTTCAGCTTCAGTAGTCCTAATGGTCCAGACAGTATAGACCCCAGTCCTGAACTCAGCAGCTTTGGCAACATGCCTCGACTCTATGAACTCATAGCATCCCCTCGCTGAGCAATGTGGAGATTGTAACATATTACATGAATGCAGTCATACAATACACAGAGAGAGTGACCACATGTTGCTGAAATGCACTTTAGAATGTAAGAGGTGGTTTTCAAATTTCTTAAAGTCTGATCTAGTGAAAACACTGAATCACATCCTACTCAATCACAAAGCTTATTTTTAGATTCAATACTTTTAGAAAGGAGCTGTAGCAAAATGTTTGCGCCTGCAACTTCAGTGGAACTGGATATGAAATGTGCGGTGTAAATCTATTCCTGTTGAAGTGTATGAATAATGCCTGATTAATTAGATAATAACTATGACAGAACTAATATCTCTAACTGCCATCATTAACTCAGTATACATGCACTGATTGATGCTAAAAGATTACTTTTATCAAAAATAAACAATTTTCTCGGATTGGTCAGATGGGTCTACTTACCTCTTATTGGTCAGATGGCTCTACTTACCTCTTATTGGTCAGATGGCTCTACTTTCCTCTGATTGGTCAGATGGCTCTACTTTACTGAGAAAATAGATTAAAATAATTTATGGTGAGCTCTGTAAATGAAAGGTATAAAGCTAAAAGACACACTGAGGTACATGTAGAAAAAAGAAACGGCTGCGGTTAAAACAAAGAATCTGATCTATATCTTAAAATAAATGTAAATATCTTAAATCACATCACATCTACCTTTTATGTTAAGATTCTGGATATTTAACATTAAGGCGCTGTGTACGCTTTTCAGATCTCAAACTTCTCTGATCTTGCACCATGGGTGTACGGCTATACACATTAAACTCCTTAATATAATATACATAAAACCTTCCTTCCTCATCAGTTAAGGAGTTTGAAAGTGTAGTGTTTGTTATTATTCAGTCAGCATTTAGCAAAGGATTTTCAACATTTGAATGCTACAAATTTGATTTGAAAGTTCACTGTAAAACATGAACAGGTCATTTCTGTACAAAACACACACAATACTGCATCAGATCTAACCTTTGTTTTCCAGAAAGTAATCAGAGTGTCTGAAATCTCACCATACACCCTCATTCACTAGTCCCTTAATCAGCTGATTAGCTCAGTGCACTAGACAGAGTGGATGAGCACAGTTCTGACTGAATGCAGACACTGATGAACAGCTGCTGTAGATCAGGGGGCTGTTCCAAAAAGCAGGTTATGTGACATACCCGGGTAAGTTTGAGAGTAAGTAGGTGGATAACCTCAGCTTTGGTTCCAAAATCGGAGGTAACTTATGGGTATGTTAAGTAGCCATAGCAACTTACTCTCTGAAGATGAGCTGCTCCGGAGCAGATTATGTTCATAGAGTAAGTTGCTATGTTCCCGAGTTTTTCTGCTTCAGAGAGTTTACTGAGCATTGCGTGCTCTTTTGATGAGAATATTTATGTATGTGGACGCACAGATACAAGTTTTTTCGTTGTGAGAGGGTTATAAGTGCATAGTCATTTTCATAACCAAATATATAACGTATATTCTCAAAATAATTGTTAATGTATTCAACAAACCTTTTCAAATCAAATGTGACAAACCGCGGGTCTGCGCTCACCATAGAAAACATTCAGTGCAGCTCTGTATTTGCGTCAGGGCATTTTAGGCAACTGTACAATGTGGCAATAGCGTGTAGGACCATCTGTACTGTACTGCATGCCTGGCACTGAACTGTTTTATACGCTTTTGTACAGTTCCTTGGTCGTAAATCACTACGTATTAGGACACAGCTGATTCAGAGCACGGCAATAGCGTAGTGGACAGTGCGTTTTTAAAAAGCAACGCAGGGCACAGCGGAGCGAGTTTAACTTACAGATCTTGTGTTTTTTCTCTCCTTCTGCACCCTCACATTTTTCTGTATAATTTTATAAGTGGAAGCTTTGTCTTTTGTAGGAAAATATATTCATAATTTAACATGTAGGACGTTGTTCATATATATACATTCACGCACACACACCTACATTTTTAATATAATATTTTTTTCAGGGTTTCCAAATGCTATTGTGTGCAATAATTGCAGAAAGTTTTAAAGCTCCATCGGTCACTAAAGGACACTGATAATATGAAATCTGTCCATAGTATAAATGTGCAGGTACAACTTAATTTTCTGTCCTTAATCTTTTGGTGTTTTTAACTATTAAACACATTACTGCTTTCACTAACCAGCTCATATGGGATGACCCCACCTCATCACTATGTTGAGGTTAATGGCTGATTTTCAGGATGTAATAATTCAAGTGTATAATACAAATATAGTAAAAAGAAAAAAAAAACTGGAAAGCAAATGTTGCTTTACAAAACGTTTATTTTTATTATATTTGTATTATACAATAGAATCATTACTGGGCACTACATTGTTACTTGCTGGAGGACAAAAGATACCCTTTTCTGCCTTATACGATGACACCCTGCAGCCTGACCCGGAGGAAATCTCAGTTACCCAAGCTGACAAAAGAGATGGAAGAGTGCTAAAAATTATAATTTATCACAAAAAAATTTATTTTTAAGCAAATAGTTTGGTCTGTTCATTTCTTCATTTCCTGAAATAAAATGAATGATTTTTTACATTGCTTTATACACGTACCTTTCAACAGGTAACATATTTTTAATATATACATTTCTCACCTTAAAGTGATGCTCATGTGACTTTATTTATCTTTGAAGATGGACTTGTACAGCTACTTTACAATTTAAATATATAGATATCATATTTTGTGATCCAAGAGTAATATTCAAATATGGAGAAGTGCAGACAAATTCTAACACTGCTTGTTAGTTGAGGCAGAAGGAACTTCATCTGTATGCAAATTAAAAAGCATAAAAAGAACCTAAAGCTACCTGACAACAATCACTTACAGCAGTGACAGATTGTGTGGTTTAAGTCAAAAACTCAACCACTGATGAGCCTTTATTATAGGACACAGCAGCTCCTGGTGGCCCACAGCAGTTAGACAGGCCTCTTTGCATGACAGAAAGAATATTCTAGAGTGTTAAATACAGAGCTCCAGTAATTAAATATTATCTTTTAGGAGAATGTTTCTGTGTTTAATGACTTTAGACAGAGTTCTAGCTCCAGAAAGATTAAAATTTCTATAAGCCTTATTAGTCAATACACATTTGTATTGTGGTCTTAAGAAATTAATGGCAAGAAAAATAAATGCATGAATGGTTACACAACATGCTCAAAAAGAATGTTATAGAGCAATTAAATTTTTCATTACAATAAATGGAGGGTGGCATGTGTAATTTAATTAACTAACAAATTTTCTTATTATTTATTTTTTCTTTTATCTATTTATTATCTTATATTTCTTTTCTTCGTTGAAGCAGATGTGTAATCTCTGTGATTAAAACCTCCAGCTTCGCCTCTATAAAGTGCGTTGCCTTTTTTTCTCACCGTGACTTTCTATGGTGACTCGTGAATTCGGCGATCTACTGAAAATGCCTTCAGGTGTGTGTCGTGCACGCGCATTAACCCGCGGTTATCTTCAGGAGGTTGATTTAACTAACTCTTATCACCTGTTATGGAACCAACATACTCGCGGTAAGCAGGTTTTGGGTAAATCAACCGAGAGTTTAGAGTTTAGCAGATGGTAAGTTTACCCAGCTTTCTGGAATACCCCCCTGCTCTGGACCAGGTTAGATTCACAGAGTAAGTTACCACGGTAACTGACTTTGAGTTAAAGTTACCTTTCTTTCAGAAACCGGCTTGACTTACCCTGATTTCTTGAGCTTAACAAACCTGCCATTTTGAAACGGAAAACCCAGAGTTTCTTTCATTTCAGGGTTAAAATACTCTGAGTTTTCACTTAACCTCCTTTCTGAAACAGGCCGGTCGTTTGAGACAATACAACTTCCTGTGGAGGGACAACAAGCAGGAATGCATAAAAATTAATAATTAGATTTTTATACACAAAACCTCCAGCGCTCCAGCAGCACAATAAGACACACAGACATCAAGAGTCAGGATATGAACCTCAACCATGGTTGCTAAAAGTAAAAAGCTGCACAAGTCATTTATTTCGCAATGCATGCTGGGTACAAAACTCCCAGCATGCACTGCAGCATGAGTAAACTATGCAGCTTAAAGTTCTTACAGTTTCCTTCTCTGCCTTTATTTGATGTTGTTTTTAGGGTGTAATAATTCAGTAGTGTTTTGTGTTGTTCTGGGCTGATTTTTTTTTTTCTCCTCGTCACCATAGTTGAGATTAAAAGTCTAATTGTTGATGTCTGTGTGTTTCTGAGCCGTGACAGAGATTAAACACTTCCTATATGAATGGTGTTTAGGTCTGTTAAACAGTCATCTATTGCTGGAGATCTAGTGGTTTTATTTACATATATTATTCATTTCTCATACAGGGCTAACAAGACATTGAAAGAATACAGACCGGTGAGGGTGGCTTGACTGTTACAGTTATTCTCATCAGACTGATTCTTATATTTTATTTAGGCTTTTCATGCTATAGAAATAGTGTGATCAAGACAAGTAATTATAGCATCCAAAATGAACCTAGTGTTAAAATAAGCAGCCGAAGAGCCCAACTAAAGCAGACTCTGTCCTCCATCATGGTGACCAACTGCACAACAGCACCTCCATGAAGAGCTCTTGTCCACATGACAGAAATAAAGTCAGAGCTCAGTCATGAGTGAAGCTCCTGATGTTGGTGGAGTTTAATGATCTCTGCTGACATCTTCAGAAACAACATTAGTATTGTCTAATTATTTTTATTAATTATTTTTAATTTAGAGTTTCATTTTCGGTTGACCTCATCTGTGGTTTTGGCTGTAATTTGTGTTTTTCTTTCCTTCAGTGATTCTGCTGTGAACAGTTGTTCATCAATAATTCTCAATCCTCCTTTAATCAGACACTTAATTATCTGATTAACTTCATCACTGTCTGAGTGTTCAACCCTCTGTAGTGAGGACACTAGTGAGGATGTTGCTCTGGGATTTAAGGGGTTAAATGTGTTTGATGAAGAATACACACTGTGGACTGTATTTTTAACATAAATATTCAGTAAATTGAAAATTTGTAAGTTGGATGAATGAATGTGCACAAACTAACAAACTAACTTTACCTCAATGGCATGGTGTAGTAATATTAGTAAAGCACTTTCACACCAAACAGGGCATTTAATAACAGTGAAAACATTAGACAACTGCAGGAATGGATTATACTGACATTTACTCATTCAATTCCACCACATAAAACATTTAAAATGTGCAGTCCTGCTATATACAGAGCCAAACATAATAAAAGAGATAATAAAAGAGACTTTGGCTGGCTCCAGTGTGTTTTACCTTACTCAGATCAGTCTACATGTCTGCTTTAGGATCCTCTGAGCAGTTTTTGGAAGCAGTGGAGAAACCAGAGCAACATCAGGAGTGATCTACTGTATCTGTGCTGTGGTGCATCA